GTAGTCGCGTTTGCGTGGCTTTTTTGAGCCGCACTCTCGCACTCGCGCGGCATAATCACGCGAGTGCGCTCGCGCACTCGCATATAAAAGCCGCGAGTGTCACGCCGGCCGACCTCTCTCAAGAGGAGACCGTCGTAGGTTAGTGCATTGGCTGCACTTTCCATCTCGGTGTATGCATGCATGTACCTATAGTCACGACACGGCGACGGACGATTCCCTTGCGTGCGCGCGCGCGAGTGCCCGCGGCGGTCGTATGCATGCATTGGTTACGCAAGAATAGCAGCGTGTGTGAGACTGCTGACCCACATACGGCAGGGAGCAAGGACCCCTCGCTGCTACGACGACGACGACGACGACGACGACGACGACGACGACGACTCTGCATGTGTGAGTGCGCGCGCGAATGTGCACATGCGTGCCTCGGAGCAACGTGGAGAGATGCGCTTTGCGATTTGCTCCAACGTGTGCGCGTGCCATCTAGTATCGCGCATATGTACCGATGCACACACTCGCGGCTGATTAAGCACCGTTCACACCACTTGCAAGACTGACTGGAGAGATGCGAAAATTCATAATTATCTCTTTTATCGATTTTACCGCCTATTTTCGCGTTCTAAAATTATTAGGTAGCACTATATATTCAATATGTTTCAATTTCGTAACATTATTTTTTTTATTTTTAGATATGTATAAGTGCTTGTGTATGCAAGAAAAGTCGTCTGATATGATTCAAGTGCGTATACAAATATGAGTAATTCATTTAAGAGTGAATCTTCTAAATATTTGCAAAAATAAAATAATTAAGAGTTTAAAAAAAGCAAAATTTTTTTTGTTATTTATTATCAAATATATATTTTACTTTATTTTAAAGAAATGTCTGAATTTCCTGTAACTTTAATTATCTTATAATTTTTAATTTGTAATATTTTTTATATCCGTAAAAATATAGTCGAATTAATTATTATGATATTTCAAATCACATTAATCACAAGCAAAATTATATGTCAAATTATTGCATAAATTACTGCACGTAGAAAAAAAGGCGAACACTGAAAAAAATGACTAAATTAATACATATTTAGTTCAATACTGCCAAATAAATAATTTATTTGAAACATACATATTTATTTCTTTTGAAAAAAAATTTCTTATATCAAATAAACATTTTTCATATTAAATATATCTTATTAGTTTCAAATAAATGATTCATTTAGCAGTATTGAAATAAATACTTATTCGAATTAAATAAATTTTTTTCAGTGAAGAAACTTTTTAAACGCAAAAGAATAACCTATGAATAATAATAGTAACAAGCTAGCAGGTGATTTTCTGGACAAAATTAATTAAACATGGAGCTTGTTTATAAGTATAGCTATGTAGGTATACTTCTTGTAGCTAAACTATTGCTATCCGAAGGTGCGTAGGAGTACCTACAAGAAGTTCTACGGCACGCTAGAATAAATAACTTTCGAAATGGAGATAGATAATGTTGCAGAATATTAATGTCGCTCGGATTAGTTGAAGTTTGCATGCTGAAAACAAATAGAAAGCCTCGCGCGGAGGAGTATATCTGCTTTGATGAACTTCTCTTCCTTGCATCTTTATCGTAACAAATAACTGTTCCGCAATGTAAATATCTTATGATATTATAGAATTATCAAACTATAAACATTATCAGAAATGTAATTAAGCTTTACGACTAATTGCAAAAATTTTTCTATTAAATAAGAAATTTCACCTATATGCACACATGTATTATTATATTATAAATAACAGCATATCATAAATGTAAAAAAAATTACAAAGAAATTTCTGTATATATATATATATATATATATAAAGTCAACACGAAATAAATTTTATTTGATATGATTTCGATTATAATACATCATAATTATAAACTTTTATATGAATTTCCACTTATAAAATTCTTCGGTTAATTAACGTCGACTCTTAATTAACATGAGATGTTCGCGTTTATTTCTAAACGTAAATTACTTCTACTTCAATGAGATTGTTAGTAGATATATCGTATTCAACTTTCATCCGAGTAAATTCCGGAACTGTTTAAATCTAGAACTTGGAATGTTGGATCAGAGACAACTTGTAAGTAATGCGTAAATGTTATATCTCGTGATCGTAAAACTGTTTTAATAGAAACTAGCACGACGTTACATCACGGGAACATCGATTAAACGCCTCAACTAAAAATGTTAATATAAAATAAAAATATAATTATATTTTATATTTTCTAGACTTTTGTTGAAAAGATTGAGATTTTTCATTCATTTGATTGCGTTGCAAACATTTATTTATGTAATCCATGTTTGTAATAATTTTTTTGACTGAAAATGAAATAATTAGATCCAGAAAAGCTTGTTACCCAAAATTATACTTTACGTTGAAAACTATTTCTCTGACGTACGACGTTGTTTTTTAGACAAATTAAACCATCTAACTATAAAAACGTGACGTCATGTCCGTTTTAACAGCACTATGTTACACTTGTTGCATTCAAACAAAGTGTGCATCCAGATTTAGAGAACGAGAACAAAGAGAACGGATAAAAATAAAAAAAAATAAAACCAAATTATAAAAAGTCAGAGAGACAACAATAAATACGTTCCGTCGTACAAGATGCAAATATTGTTGCAACAACGTTGCAGCAGCAACAAGTATACCCGCGTTATTTCTCAGAAGAGAAGGCGCATAAAAATTCGCGCGATTGATGCGCATCATCGCCCTTATTAAAACGACCCGCCGCGGTTAGGTCGGCCACTGTTGTAAAACCGCTTAGACGTCTGATCTTTCTGACCAACTGCTGAAGCGACAGGCGCAATTGTTCGTTCCCGTCCGTCTCCGCGATTTGTTATTATCGCCGGCTTCGCATTATTAAAATGACCCCCGTTGCACCCGCCATAGTCTCTCATAGACCTAGTCTCGTCTAGCGTTAGACTAGAGAAGATAGAGCGGACAAACGCGCTCGTAAAACTCGATAAAGCCGACATCTCGGGGATGTCAGCGAGCGAAGTCGACCCACACGCACGTACACATCAGTCTTTAATTATTCCATTACGGTTACTATGTATGATGAGACGGTATCTCGCGACCGCGTGGACCCTATGAAAACGAAAACGTCTCGTTTCGCATCGCGGTAAACGATACATTGAATCGCCACGCAACTGCCGATCCAATTGTACGTTATTGCCGACTAAAGCGGGGTTAATGGCGAACTATGCGTTCGTCCGCACACGCGTACTTTCACGTCGCTAACCGATTTCCTCGCGATAGACGCTATTTCGCTCGCGAGACGAAATCTCGACTTCGAGAAGAGGCGCGTCGACAGAAACAGATATTTTTTCGCAACATGCAATTTCAGAGTGCCCACACGGAGATAATTTTCTCTTAGAATTTACCCTAAAAATCATGGTAATCGTGGGATATGTTGGAAGAATTTTATAAGGGTTTTTCTGATTAATATTTGCCACAATAAAAAATATTAATATATGTACATATTGTGGTAGATATTAATATTTTTATTGTCCCGCGATTACCATGATTTTCAGGGTAAATTTTAAGAGAAAATTATCTCTGTGCAGCAGACTCAATGAAAAAAAATTCCCTGATTTTTTCAGATTTTTCAAGACTAGAAATTAATTTTTTCCCTGACTTTGTAGTATTATTTTTTACAAATATATAATTTTTATATATCTATACAATCAATTAAATCCACCATATTCATCTCGACTAAAGAGCCAAACGCGATGTTATTGCGACAGATTAAGATAAGAAAATTTGGAAACTAAGGAATTTGAATCCTATGGTTGGGATCTCAGAAATTCCCGATTCAGCCGACTTTCGGACCAATATTCTTCTCGTCTATTTCTTTACAGGGGATTAAGAGAAGGAACAAGGGGAATTTCTGAGATCCCAACCATAGGATTCAAATTCCTCAGTTTCCAAATTTTCTTATCTTAATCTGTCGCAATAACATCGCGTTTGGCTCTTTAGTCGAGATGAATATGGTGGTTTTAAAAATTGGAGAGCTGACTTGAAAATATTCTTATTAATCAATTAAATGTTGAATCATGAAATCCTTGGGATATTTTTGTCAACAATGAAAAGGTTCGGAAGTTAAAATAAAAATTTAAATCAATTATACAATCTGCATTATGCACGATAATCGAAACAAACATGTCACTATAAACTATTTAAATAATCACAATTTTTATTTATATTATATCAAATTTTGTAGTTTTGTCTCTATCAAAAAATTGAAACAAAATAACGAATACGCTGTAGAATCGATTTTTAACAACACAGAAAATTAGCGTGCTGGGAGTCAAGAAAAAGTTTATATTTATTTAATAAAAAATTTCAAATTATTGAGACAAATGTAAAATAATGTGAAAAAATCCAAATAAATAGTGAATTTCTTGACTTTTTTTCGACTGATAATCCTAGATTTATAAAATTCCCTGACAATGCCCGGTTTTCCAGATCTCTCTGACTGCTATACATCCTGAATTTTTATATTCAAATATTCATCAGAGTGAAGGATCGATCAAATTCGACTGACGAAATTGTGCATTAATGTTCTTCGTTACATTATATGATTGTTTACGAGATGCATTTACGAGATAAAATTAAAACATAGAAAATTATAAGAAAACTATATTTTTTAAAAATCGATAGTTTATCTGATGGAGAATTTAATTATCTTTAGGATCTGTAAAAATGTACATTAAAAATGAATTATTTTTAAATTCAATTTTTGATACATGTGTTCATTCAATTATATGAATGATAAAATTGTATTTATCTCTTAAATGCATATAAATTTCAACAATTTTTATTGAAATATTAATTTACTCTCTCAAATTGATCGTTGACTTTAATAATTCTCTAAAGGCAGGATCACTCATAAATAAATTAATAATAATAAATATTCACTTAGCAGAGACACTAATATTAATCCTTGCTATTTTTTCTGCTTTCAGGAATTATGACCCTTCCGAGCAGCCCGTGTGAGATAGACAACATGAGCTTGTTTCAAGATCTCAAGTTGAAAAGGAGAAAGGTCGACTCCCGATGTAGTAGCGACGGTAAGAATATCTCGGCGATATATCGCAGCAATGGATCAGACAAAAAAATGCTATGCATGCAAAATTAACAATTATAGCGTGTTTATCACGGAAAGTCTGGATTTGAAACATTTTTCTCCATTAGATCGCGCGTTTTTTTTTTAGCGATTTGCTTTACACATTTGCAATATATGTCACAACAAACTTATTACATATTAATATAGTATTAATATTTTATTTAAAGTTGCTCTACCTGTCCTTTTACTTTTTACTTCGTCCTTTTAAAACCAAGGTATATCTCGACAGCGACTGCTCGAAAGGAAAGAATATAAAAAATATGCAAAGACGTAGAAGATAAATATAATACGTAGAAATATCGGGATTATCTAGAGACGAGATATAATGCTTTAGAATCTAGATTCGATTCTAATGGTTGACGTAATCGCGCCACGAAGAATCGTATATCACTGTCGAGCAAATTATGATGCACTGACTGATCTTTTCATATTGAGATTACTCGGAACAAGTTGTAAAACTGACCGATGTTCAAGCATAACGATTATTTACCACCCGGTAATGGAGAAATGAGATTTGATGTACGCGTAACAATGATCATTTTTATAACCCACGGCGAATGAGAAATCGTTCCAACTATAAACGGCGTAATTAATCTTCTCTATTTTATCGAACATGTAAAAAGTATAATTTCACTATTGTTGATGAATATGCAAACACATAAAAAGACTGTTCAGTTTTAAGGATATATTTTTATGCATTACAAAGCAATTATTTTCTATTTTTCCCACATTTCTATATATATATATTTTTATTTTTATACACATAAATCAGATTTATCTAAATTATATTTAATAAGTAATTTTATTTTCGACAAAAATGTAGCTAATATATTTTTAAAAAATCATCTTTATATTTGATTTATGTAAAATATTGATCGATTCATCTTTTGCAAAATAATTTCTCAACAGTTTGTATTTTCTTTATTAGCTGAGATGTATTTATTTTTATATCCGGTTTTGTACATCTCATCATCTTACGTCGTGCACATTAATATACGCGATATTACGTCATATTTGTGAAATTGACATTTTACTACGATATATCGAGTTTGAAACTAACTTATGTACGAGGAATTAATATTACGTTCAAACATGCAACATGTATCTCATTTTATCGAATGAAATATCTTGAAAATTAGAGCTAGGTGCAAAAGCGCTTTAATAAATATAATCCTAATAATAAGAGAACACTTTAAATAATCCCAGATGATCATCTTATAATTTAATTCATTTAAATATAATTTAAATACAATTTTCAAAAATATAATTTGGTTCATTTAAAATTATCGGTAAATTAAAAAAAAAATTCTTTACTTTTAATGAATTTTGGAACATATTTTTTTTTAAAGAAAAAGTTTCTCAACTTCCAATTATAGCACAATAGCTTTATAAATTACCACGTGTATGTACACCTTTCTCCAGCACTTGCGTAAAAAATACCATAATGCACAACAATTTAAATTAATATTTCCGATGACTCGATCTTCAACCCTTCGTTCGCACATCCATATCTCGTCCACCATTCAACATTCATTTCATTCAGTCCCCCCGATTTTCCGAGCTGCGCGCGCGCTCATTCCGCGTGTCATTTCCTTCTTCCTCCATTTCTCTTTCTGCATATATTTTTTTATTCCCACTCCTTCGTTATACAACAACGCGAGTTACGTCGCGTTGCAACAGGCGGTGTTACACGCTCGTCTTCTTATTGCGACTTCAAGGCAGCTTTCGCAAATGATCGACGGGAAATGGAAACGGGAGGGTTGTCGGCGCAAGTTGAGGGCAGAGGTTGAGACGTGGGTGGCTCGGCGACGGAATCACCTAGCTAGCTCGGGGAAGTTAAGTCCGAAGCGAGGCGGAGAGAGAGAGAGAAAGAGAGAGGGAGAGAAGGGAGCTCTGGATGGTTGCTGCCGGCGGTGCAGGGTTGAATATCAACCCACGCGATCGTCCCGGACGTACACCGGTGCTAGTTCGGTTTCGCCTGAACTCGCGTAACCACGCGGCCTGGTGTCGCGCGCTCGGTGATCGCGAAAAACGCGCGAAAAGCGCTGGACGCACGAGTGAACGCACGGAAAGGCCGAAACTGAAGAAGAGAGAAGTGTGACAGATTCGAGGACGCAAGCGAGTTTTATCCGCGTTATTTTGTCGAGGTTGACGTATCATCCGCGGGAAAATTCGCGCGCACGTCAACGTCACGTCACGTCACGACGTGTTGCCGCGGCCACTGCACACGCCGGGCTGCATCGATTTTTCGACGCGTTCGCACAAACACCGACCGATACCAATGACCCTCGACCTACGGCCGGTTTAAAGGTCAGAGACTGCCGTTGGCCGCGAATCGAGAGAGTCTGCGTCGACGATCCGTGGTGTTGTCGAACCGGCAAGGGTCGAGCTGGCGAAAGCGCGGGTAGAGAGAGAGAGAGAGAGAAAAAGACTGGACCATTATTATTATTTTTATTTTTCTTTTTTTTTTTTCAACGTGGATTCTCGTGGTGAACCTAGAGAGAAATGTGCATCGCGCCGACAGCACGCGCTCCAATTTTTCGAGGAGAACGTACGCTCCGGCACGCTCCGATGCCGTGACCCGGAGTCTCGCGGAATCATTGATCTTTCTTGGCCGCCGCCGCCGCCACACGTGTACGTCATACACACAGTTCAACGAATATACGACGCAATTATCTAGGCGATGTCGGCGTCGATGCGGATGTCGAAAGATGATCAGGACTGACGGGATATAACGTGAATTTATCGTTTTCCAACGCGATCGATATATTCTCGATCGATGTCCCTCGAGACTCATCGGCAGTGTGGAATTATATATTTTTCACGCTATTATTATAATCCTGTGGCGCTATATCAAAAATGGCTTACGATAGAAATATATATATATATATATATATATATATGTTTGTTGGAATAAAAAATAAATATAGCGAGAAAAATATAATTTAATATATATTCTCGCGATGGACGAGACAGATTGACAGATTGATAGAATAATGATAATCACGTATGTTAAAGAGACGAGATTCGGAGAGAAGAGATGACCGATCAAAGCAACGTTATATCACTTAATCCGCAACGCGCGCTTTTTGGTGAAGGAAAAGTAGTGACTTCTTGTTTTAGTCAGACGCTTCAAGAATGAATTTTAAATTTTCTACAGAAACAAAAACTGGTTGTTACTAAAATTATAAAAAAATATAAAAAGTATACGCGTAGTGTATAATTATATTATTGTGACTTAAGTTTACGTAAAAGATCGGTCAATCGAGATTTTTCTCTCGATAATTTTGACGTTTAACGAATGTACAATTTCGGTTGAACATTTCGAAAGAGAGTGACATATTTTCCGAATATTCATATTATATTCTAAGTAGACAAGAAAGATAGAAAAAGAAAAGAGAAACATATCATCTAAAAATTAGATTCTATTTTTATGTGCCAATTTTGATTGACATTTGAAAAAATGATAAAAGAAAATCATTTCACACGAAGATAAAACAGCAAATGCTCCTTTTACGAATTACAAATACATAAACAACAAATGCAACGATTTCTAGATATCGAAGACAATCCGATATCGAAAACAATCCGTAAGAACAATAAAAAACACAGTCGAGGATGAAAGAGAAAAGGAGACAATATAATATTTAAAAAAACTCTTGCCATAAAAATATTTCTTATAAACATCGAATTCAATTGCATTAATCACAGATCTATAAAAAGATCTGTAAAAAATTATTACAAAAAATGTTTCCGTTGGGAAGTAACGTTTCCATCGCCACTAATCTCGATTGGAACCGACAAGATTGGAATTCACCAAGTATGGATCTAACAGCTTTCTACGGAATGCAGAGAAACAGCTTTTTACCCTACTTATCTGCGTATAATCCCTACAATAACTTTTCGATAGCATCTTACCAGAGTTACTTCCGCTTCGAACACTACTTCAGATCGCAACTCACGGCTGATCCCTATTCTACCTTCAATTATTACAAGTGTTTAGACACGAAGAATTTGTACGCGTCGTTCTTCGGTAAACATTACATTTACTATATCAAGTATTATCTTTTTTATTTCAATGATATCTTATAATGTATCTCTTTGCATATATTTTCTCTTTGTGTGTTTCATCTACAAAATTCGTGATAAAATCGATCTCAATTTTTTTAAACAAGATATTAAAAGAACAATTTTACAATTAATTTATTATAATATAATTTTCATTGTAATTTTTAGAAAGTTTTATTTTACATATTTCTAAAGTTAAATTTTTCAAAAATTCTGTTAAAATCCATTTAATTCACTTGAATTTCTTAATAAATATATAATCTGAATTTATCTTTAAGAAAAATGTATTTAAAAAATGATAAGCTGCAATTCTTTAACTTATCTTGATATTTAAAATAAACATAAAACAATTTTTAGGAATAAATTTTAAAAAACTTTAGAATAAACAATTTCTGTTGAAGAGTCAATTAATTAGAGAATATTCTCTATTTGTATCATAGATAATTTTTTACCTTTTATCATTCAAAAAGTCAATTTATCTCAATTTTCTCAAGAAGAAGATTATTTCAAGTTGGTTAAGGAACCTAAGAATCTAAGAAAAAAGTAAGTGAAAGGAACGGTGAAAGTGATGGCATGTCTTGTGTAACTCTACGATATGTAATTGCATTATTACATTGCTAGGAACAATTTCTTGAACACTTTGAAAAATTCGAATATCGATACAAAGGATCAATATCCTCATCGCATCTCGCAATAGATAATAATCTTTGTTATTTTTAGCCGTCATTGTATATGTTAGACTCACTACTACGTCACTCATGCATCATCTGAGAGCATTGATATGCGATAAATATAATTGTGCGATTAATATAATTGCTCTACGAGAGTGATGGACGTTTTTTTGATGATTTATAAAAATAGGCATCTGACTCTGATTTAGTAACTGTGCAAGATAATTCGCGATATCGGAAGATTATGAGTCTACGAATGCATTATAGTTCGCTCGACCAATGTCCAAGACAATCAACTATTAATAGCTCGGAAACTGCTACTTAAGTATTTGCAATCATAGTATGGCCTTGTCAACTGCATTCTTTCTTTGACCTACACGAGTAACCATAAATTCTCACATCCTTTTCGTAACAAGCAAAAATTCAAATAGCTGTATTTTGTATTATTCTATAATGTATATAATTTTTTCTCGATTTAAGGAAACAGAAATAAATAGAGTCTATTTTATTAATTCATTCCACTAATATCTAGAAATATTTATATGTTTAAATATATTTTTCCACGGAAATAGAGCAATCTAGAAATTTATGAATGAAGATTTATGAATGAAGCATTTCGAGGAAATACATACACGCGCACGAGATAATTATATTTTAAACTTTCATATATGGTACATTTATCGAGAAAATTCGTATAATATATGAGTTACATAATAATGATAAAACTCTCTAATGCTTTCATACAGAATAAAATTTTATATTCGTATATATATATATTTGTGCAGCGTAGAATATTTTTTAGTGGATTAATTTCACACTGTGCGTACGTACAGGTATGTGTGTGTGCGTATCCTCGATACAAAATCACCCCACGTTGCACGTGGCACCTCGGTTTACCTTTTCACATCACACGGGGGGTATCATGCAACGTTAAGAACACGTCGAAAGCATACCTACGGACGCTTTAATGGTTTTTGTTCGACCCTCTCTTCTAACGCAATTACAACCTACCGACGTAATTTCCCCATTATCAAAGACACAATGCTTTTCACGGTGAAGCTTGTTCTGACTAAAATCTCTCGAAGGACGTGACAGATATGGAAAACTAATTTTTTGGAATTATCTTCTACAATAATACGCATAATTTTCGACTATTATTTTTTCAAAAAAAAAAAATATATATATATATATATATATATATATATAAAATATATAAAAAATATTTTCTCCGAATATGAGGCCTGAAAAAGTACATGTGTAAAACTAGCATATCATTTCGTAGCAGATCATAAATAGTTAAAAGTTCTGACTTAATAAGCCAGAACTCTTAACTATTTAAGAATTTCCATGAAATAAGATGCTTTACACATCTATTACCACTATAGAAATATTATAAAATAAGTGATTTCTCACTCACCAATGCGTGCAATAGCAGAGTGTAGTACACAGCACATTGATCTGGAAACAAAATATTCAAATTAGATATATACATGTGCTTACAGGGTATTTTGAAATGGTCTCAATAAGTTTAATTGCAGTTTAGAAAAAAATATTTTTATTTTACATACCTCACTGTTGTCCCGCTGTTGCCCGATGCCTCCCTGGGCCTCCTCCTCCTCTCTTAGTCTTTGGCACTCGCGAAAACGAATAATTACTATCGCCCGACACTTCACACGGCACTCCCGATACGCAAAATGTTATACGGCACTCCCGACGAGCGAAACTTCACACGACACTCCCGACGCGCGAAACTTTACACGGCATTCCCGATATATAAAAATTTATACGGCACTCCCGACGCGCGAAACTTTACACGGCACTCCCGACTCGCGATACGCGGCACTCCCACATGACGCGTGAATCTCACTATGTCTCATAATGCTACCTGTAACAAATAAAATACATACATACATTAAAGAGAATAATCTTATTATTTTGCATTATAACGCACACATAAATATGTAAGCTATAATTAACGATAGATATATGTACAGATCACAAACATTCGCGTGCACGAAAACAGATTAGGTCGGGTTATGTTGACCATTAGCACAAGAGATTTTGCATCGAATTTCTCGCGAGATATGCGTTTCGAACAATTACAACTACATATGAACGTTGAAATTATGATATACGATTGATAAGCGCGTGTGATATTTAATTAATTAAAGCTCGAATAAGATTCATTCGAGAAGATATAGCTCTAAAATAAGTATTAATCTCGAAAGTCAGCTAACATCTCATCTATATAGATGTAGATATCCGGTTTTTATTTTAGCTTAATTAATATTTTTTTTTGCTTTTATAGAAGGCAAAACTTTTTAGAATTTATGTAAAACTATACATTTTTTTAATCCTGATAATTACTGATAAGGAAAATATCATAAGACAAAGGACAAGGTCATAGGACAAAATGATATACTGCGTTAAGTTAGCACATCAATTTGTCCTTAGGAATTTTCTTTGGTTTAATCGCCAGAACTATTTGTTTAAACTATCAAGAACTTTATTGGAAATAAAACCAGAATTCTTACTTATGATCTTCCATTAAATTAGATGTTAGTTCTACACACATCTTAAAACTGTTTAGTATTTTTATTCCAAGTTAAAATAAAAATAATAAAATGCCCATACATTAATAAAGAATGAAATAAATACTTATTATTTCTCACACTTTTTTATATGTTTGAAAAATAATTTTCTCACAAAATTAGACATTAAACTTTTGTTTTAAATTCATGTCAGACTTTATTCATGCATCTATCCAATATAAAAATAATCAACATTTCGAACATTACTCCCTAAAAAACTACGAGTAAATAATTAACTCGGAAATAAATAGGCAAAACAATGAGCAAGCATTTAAATTTATTGAAGTAGTGTGATTGTTCAAGAGAGATTATGGCATGCCTTTGAAAGCCTATCGAACTTGACGGAGTTTAAAGGAACTTAAAAAGAGAGACGAGAGATCGAGATAAGAAATAATCCTTTCACTTTCTTTCAATATATTCTTGTAATATGTCCGTAAAATATATGTATTGCTTTAAATCATGTTAAAATCATATTAATTAATTTCTACATTTAAAAAAAAATTGTAATATATATGTTACAAGATCATAAATATTAAAAATAATTAAATGATTTTAAACGTATTAAATGTATCAATAATATGTTTTTGAATATTGAATATTTAATATTATAATATTTACAATATTTACATACTTTAATATATTAAAATATTCTTTAATATTCTTTAATATTTCAATGTTTTCAAGTGATTAAAAATTTTTACATTTCTTGACATGCAATCTCTCTGTGTACTTTCTCTTTAATACTTAAAGTTCTCTTTAATATTCAAACACTTCAAATATTCGAAACGATTGTTTTCCAACTGAGGTCGATCGTGCGCCCTCCGAATACTCTGTTATATCGTTTAAAAAGATAAAATGTACTGGAGTAAAGTGGCCAAACAACGTGTTTATCGCAGAATATAATTTGAAATATCTTTCACGAAAAGAAGGCAATTATGGGCGCGGTAAACTCGAGGAGAACACGTCGGATTTATCACGTTTCGCGTGTATCAGAATCTATTATGGGAAGCATTATTTTTATTGGGAGAATCTATCGTATTTCATACATGATGCCATATTATTGATATGACTCGGGATTACGTAACGAGCAGTTGCTTCGAGACCAGTATAATCAAACCTATATGTTCTGAGTTCATCATTGCCGTCTGTAATTTTAATAGTATAGTTCCTGTGTAGCTTTCCACATCAAATTACTTTGTAAAAAAAAAGAGCACATATATTAATATATTTCTTTGTAGCTACTCTCTTTTATATTTTTTCTTTGCTTTTCTTCTACTTTTTTCAATTTTTAATGTTCAATTTATTCTATTTTATATAAAAAATATAATACAGTTAAAAAACTTTTAATTTTTCAAATAATTGAGAGAATCATACAGATTTATAGTACCAGTACAGTATCGCATTTAAAAAATATTCGAGTCCTAGAATTGGAATAGAATCGAAACTAGAAGAAAACAATGTTAATGTCACAATTAAAATTTCGAAGCATTTAAAAGTCACGTATTGATTTTCACGCAAAATAATTATGCAATTTAATTTTCATGTCACCACTTCAGCATATTCTTTCAGATTTTTATATTTATACCGAACAGAATCGACGCGAGTAACGCGTCATAAACAATCCATCTTCGAGAGCGTGTCCGAGAATAAGAAAAAAAAAAACCGTCCCTACGCTAACGTTGCAGACTCTCTGCTATCCGAGTATAAATGTAAAATCAACGCCTTATTTCCCAGACTCCCCGGTATCCCTCGGATCAGCAGGCTCGCCGCAGGGAACCAGCCGGCGGACGCACCTTCACCCATAAACTTTCCTGCTCCAGGGAGAGCATGGCCGACACCTCGACCCTGTCGCCGGAGGCGAACATGCCGGGCTCGCCGGGCTGCCCCGTGGTCAGAGTGACGAGCGAGTACCTGCTGGGCAGCCCGAGTCCAGGAGCACCGCGAGACTCCCTTCGCGGTACCGGCGATACCGGAAATGGAAGAGGAAATGGACAGGACGGTCGCGACGCCACGTGCACGGACCGCGCGTCGCCCGACTCGGTCTTCCCGGATGCGGGTCCGATGGTGAGCTTCAGGGTCGCCGACGAACAGCAGCAGCATCATCATCAGCAACCGCAACGCTCCGCTCCGCGACACCAGCGCCGACCAGATCGTCGTCCTATTCGCCGGTCCAGGCGGTCTCGTCGACCCCAATTGCCCAGGAGGCCTCCTCCAGGAGCGACAGCCCGGACAAGGCGATCTGTCATCCGTCCAGACCAAGGAAGAGTCCGACAACTCGGTCTTCGACGGTGGCGGAGGTAGTGGAGGCGGTCGCACGGAGACTTCCAGTCAGCCGAGTCACCGGAACAGCCCGTCGTCTCAGTTCAATCCGCATCAGAGTGTCAGTCCTGGGTCCCATGGATCCGCGCAACAGCAACAATCGCCGCAGACTCCGCCGACGCCGCCGAGGACGCGCGCTCCCTCGGTGCCGCCGCACTTGCTCGCGGCTCATCATCAGTTTTGGTCGCAAAACACCACCGGCGTGCAGGGATTCGCCACGCAGAGGCTACTCAATGGTGTCATCAGCAGCGCCGTGAGCTACGGCGGACAGAACGCCACTAACGTCTCCACGAATTCCGGCGGCGGCACCAGCACCAGCTGCGTCACCACCGGCGCGACTACTACAGCAACTTCGTGTAAGTGTTCAATTGTCATCAATTGTTATCTATATTGTTATCTATGTATATATCTAATTATCTCTATTTGTAATAATAAATAATAATTGGAAACAAGTTTTTACATTATATGATTAATCGCGTATGCATGTATGCATTAGGTTTGTAAATCTGACTCCTTACTGTCAAAAAATTAATACGGAAAATGATTGTATTTCGTTCTTAGTTGTTTGTAAACTAATTTCGTTCGTAGTCAATTAAAAAGTAAATTAATTATAAAAAGCATACAAAAAATATTTTTAAAATTTTGATAGAAAATATTAGTCAACAAACATTTTGTGAAAAATTTTGTATAATGATATGAAGTCTTTCATATGTGTCGAGTACTTAAAAATAATTTTGATTTTTTATAAAATAAGTATAAATTAATAATTTAAATTAACTATTTTCTATTAACAAATTACAAATCATAATTTTGATTAAATTAATTTTCGTAAAAAAATATTAAAATCAAGACTTTTGCAAATTTTCTATAAAAAAAAAGGAATAAAAATAATTTTTAAAAATTCTCCTTAAAAAAAATCGAAAGTAATAGTCTTTAACAATAAATTTTTCATTTAAAAAATTGGAAAAATGGAAATTAATAACTATAAACATTTATATATATAATTTATATATAATTTACTACTATTTCCGTATTAAAAAATTTATTTTTATAAGTAAGGTACCAGGGTCACATAGCTAATATATGTTTAACGTTTGTAATGTAGTTCAATTAAAAAATAAAAAAAAAAAAAATTAGCACCCGATATTAGACATTACAATTCTTAAAAAAAATCTGCTTGCGTAGTTTTTTTTTTAGAATTTTAATAGTTTTGATTGTAGTGATTTTGTTTCGCTTGTAGTTGCACGGCTTAAAAATTGCAACTGTTTAAAAAAACTGTCAAAGTGACTTTTATAAATTTTAGATTTGCTTTTTCCATCAACATAAATTTAGATTACGATTGCTACAAACAACTACAAACGATTCTAAAACGAACTTGAAATATCTTAAAGTTGGGTCATCCCTTTAATTCTTCGCTTTAAGATCGATATCGATCTACCTACTCTTAAAGTCTTACTCGATATTAGGAATGTCGCGCTTCAACTGATTCCTGATTGTCAACAAATCAATTATTTAATACGGAAAATGATAGTGTTTTGTTTTTAGTTGTTTTTAAAAGTAATTTCGTTCGTAATCAATTAAGAAATAAATTAATTAAAAAATACCAAGTACCCGCAAATCAATCTAAATTTCGATTGCGATTGTTACAAATAACTAAACGAGTCTAAATCAGATTTGAAAAGTCTTTAAAATTGACAAAGTTCACTCTTTGACCATTCGTTTAACCGTGAAAAATTTCTAAACAATTGCATATAATAAATTCGAATAATGAAATGCTATTCGTGTTATGATGCACATCTAAACGTCATTACCTAGCATCGAAAAAAATTTCAGGCGAAGCAATGAAACCACCGGCGCAGAGGACAGCGCCAGCACCACCACGTCCTCCGCCTACAGTTTTAATGGGCGAGATCGGCGGCGTCCGTACGATGATATGGTCGGCGCCGCCGTTGGATCCGGTACCGCCGCCTGCTGCTTCCTGGACGGCCACGGCGGCCGCCTCGTGCTCCTCGTCCGAGGAGTCGGCCGCTCAGCTGTTGCTGAATCTCGGTCAAGAGTCCAGGGTAAACCGCCCTCCTCGACCTCCACCGCGGTGTCGTACTCGTCCGCCGCCGCCGGGCCACCCCTTAACATGGAGAGGCTATGGGCCGGCGATTTGACGCAGCTGCCGGCCGCGCAACAAATGCAAGCGTTAAATCTCACGGCTTCCGGCTCCGCCGCGCAACCGTGGCTGAGCAACGGCAGCACGATTGTCAAATCCGAGGCAGCCTCGCAGTCTATATCGTTCGCGCCACCAGCACCCCCATTACCACCCCAGGAACACGAGGAAGACGAGACACCCATGATATGCATGATCTGCGAGGACAAGGCGACCGGCCTGCACTACGGCATCATCACGTGCGAAGGGTGAGTATCGCTCGCTTTTATTATTATTGTACGCGGAGATTTAATTAAATATTATTAGCTCAATGAAAATATTCGCAATGTCGTATTATTTGTATTGAAATTTTTTTAATTGTACAAAACTTTATTTTGTTATTATATAATCTTTTTTTTTTTTTTTATTATGATCATTAAATTCGAAACTGATAATTTTATATAAAGTTGGATTTATACACAAATATTTTTTATAGAGATATATTATATACAAAAGTATATTAAATAATTAATTTTATTTTACTGGTTTTATATTGAAAAGAAGCATTATATATTTTTACAACTTTGTTATTTTGCATGTTGAATATACATATATTAAATACAAAAATGATATAAATTCATTATTAATTTAATGCAACTAATCAAAAATTAAAATAAATATAATCGAATTTAATGATCAATATCTGAAATTTCAGCTGATATTTTAATTTTTTCAAATTATAACATTTTTTCTGAAATGTATTTTTATTGCATACAATAAAAATTGCGAAATATTTTGCAATTGTCTTCATAAACTATACAAGCGGAAAATGTCTTCGATTAAATTTTCACTGATAAAACCTACGCGAATTCGAGAAGCAGTAATAATGAATTTACGACAAACACGTTTTATTCGCAGTAATTTCATTCCTGCAACAACAGCGATAAATTCAACACAAAAACAAGTGAATTCAAATCACGCTAATAACATGGGTTAATTGAAATTCGAATTTACATGTGTCTCTTCGACAAACGGGCCTTTAGTAGTGAATTGCAACTCAAGAATCAACCAAATTCGCTTTAATTAGATTTAATTATATTGAACTATCTATAGTGCATAGTCGAAATCGTGTAGTTGGTTGATCACAAACACGTGTAACCTTACTGCGACCTTCGACCTTTACCAACACTCGCGCAAATGCATCTAATTGCATTTTGTAGACAAGAAATGTCAAGTTTTGAGTAAATTAATCTCATAGTGGATATATCAGTTTATTTGTACAAAAGTTTGTACATGAGAGACACGGCGGTTTATTTGCGATTGAGATCTATCAATATTATTTATCTTCTTGTATTTAATTTTATCCATTTTGTATCTTAAATCACTCTCAACAAGAAAACACAAGCTGAAAAACTTTTCTTACATCGAAAAAAAATTCTAAGTATATGCATGTTAAACAATGCTTCATAATACAGATTTGTATATTTGATAAATGAATCATTTGATTTATAATATCGATATTTCAAAGCTCTTTAAATAAAACAAATTTAATTTTTTAAATATACTTTGAATAATTTTTAATTCTCTAGTCTAATTAATAACAAAATTTTTAGAATTAAAAAAATTTTCAGTGTTTAAATTTGTTCTACATTTCTTTATATTCAATATATCGATACTTTTATTTCCATTTTAACTTTCTAATTTTAAAAATATTAATGTGATTAAGAAACATTCTTATAAATTAATTTAAAAATGTATATTCTAAATTTCAGATTTTTATATATTTAATTTAGATTTTTATCAATAATAATAATTATTTACATCTATATTATTTATATTTTCGTTTTATCGCCCAAGCGCAAAATATAGTAGTTTATATGAGAATATTCCATAGTATACACATATATAAAAATAAGATTAAATATTAACTATGATAATCCCATAATGCTCGCTTTGTTCTCATAGCACATACATATTAGCACAAAGTGCGAAAGATACTTGTTGCATCTATTCCAGATATACTCCAAAGACTTCTCTCTCTTTCTTTGTTGAACAACACTTTTGATTAGTCTGTGAAATTATCACGAAGTATCATTACTCTCTCTCTCTCTCTCTCTCTCTTCTCTCTCTCTCTCTCTCTCTCTCTCTCTCTCTCTCTCTCTCTCTCTCTCTCTCTCTCTTTTCCTCCCGTCCTTGTCTAACTTCATTGTCTCGAGCGTGCAAGTAGATTAGACGAGAAAAGTCTGCGTCAAGTTTTCCTTCGCATCCACACTACTCGTAACTCGGTGTGGATAAATCCTTAATTCAGCCTCGCTATTTTCGCTGCTCATGAAAGTGCTTCTTAGCACAATCCGTAATACAATCTACTCTATTTAAAGAAACCGAAAAATTATAAAAACAAATTTTTTACGGACGAGAAATACAAGACAAATTACTTTTTTGTCTGTCAGATTTTTAAAACATCGATTAAACGGTTATTTTTTTATTTAAAAAAAAATTTAAAGTTCATATTTTTTCATTATAAATTATATTTCATCACATTTCTACTAATATAGAAAGATTGTTTAATTAATAAAGATTATTTTTACACTTTTAATTTAATCGAATCTTACAATTGACCAAATAATTAAATATTTTCCTGAATACATTTTGCAATTTATTGATTTATCGGTTATATTAATTAAATTATTATTTTATCAATTACTTTCTGATGTACATAATAATATGTGATTTATTTTAATTCTCGAAAATACGTTTAAACATGTTCAAATATAAATTTTATAATGTATATGTAAACAGTACGTAACATAAATAGATATAATCTATAAAATAAAATATGACGTATCTTATCGTTAAAAATATAATCTAAAAAGTTTAAATTAAAGAATTCTTTTATCGATAACTTGTGTAATAATTATAGATATAATATATAAAAATAAAATATGACGTATCTTATCGTTTAAAAATATAATCTAAAAGTTTAAATTAAAGAATTCTTTTATTGATAACTTGTGTAATATTAATACAATATATATCCTATTATATATGTACATATTAACAGAAAATAATTGATGTAAAAAAAGATAATAAATTTATCGAAATAAATAAAAAAAAAAATAAAATCAAAAACATGATAACACGAATAACGAAGGATAAGAAAATCTGATATTTATGATTTAAAAATAAGATTCGATTTCTTTTATTTAATTTTGTTGGATTGTTAAAAATATCGAATAGAGAAAGAGAGCACACATTTCGCAAATCCATGATAACTTGTCTTTCATGTCATAATTTTGGAAATAAATATTGTTTATTGCATCTCTAAATTTGTCACTATTTACATATGTTTCAGAAAATAATTTTTAAAGAATAAATTTGGTATATAATTATATTTACATTAATTGAGAGAAGAAGAGAGAACAAGATAAAAGAGAAAGAGAATTTGAAGTCTGAGGAAGATTATATATTTGTCACATTATATGTCATATAAAATGTTCTCTAAAAAAATTTTTTAATAATTTTTAAATAACTTTTAAAATTTTACTCACTCCTAACCTGATCGTAGACATGTAGACTCTCTGAACAGCAATATCCATTAAAAGTAATCCATTACGTGCAATCTGCGATGTTCTCGATGATTTTTTTATGCACTCTCACATACACCCACATTCCGCGAATAACGCTGAGCACGGAATAATGCGACATTCATTTCGATGTTTTAAGAGAGAGAGAAAGAGAGAGAGAGAGAGAGAGAGAGAGAGAGAGATGCAAAACAATATATCAATGTTCCGTATCGCAATCGAGTCGTTACTTGACAATCTTGACATACGATTGTCTGATATAAAAATCATCCGACACTCCCGATACTCGATCGCACTCGCGAAGATCCCGCAAACAGGTTATATTCACAACCCTCCTTCGAAGGACACGGGCAACAATGTCAACGACGAAAATATATAGGTTACATTTGATAAACCTCCCTTCGAAGGGCGCGAACTACAATTTATGTTTACGTCACGTCACGGTCGATATCGATCATAGATAAACAGCTCACTAGCGCGATCTAGCAGGTTAATTGAAAACGATCGCCATGTTCGTCACTTTTGTGCGCAATGCATTCTGGGCGTTGAAATTCGCGAAAGAAAAGGTATCAATCATAGCTTCGCGCCAATTTCAGCGCAAGGTCGATCGATCCCGCTCGATCGGTCCCTCCCGGCGATCCCGAATTGTGCTTCCCGGCACTCCGGGTGCCGAATAAGACTCGCGATGCACCTCGGAGGCGAAATTCGCTCGCGGTGGATGCTCCGAAACAGCGAAGCACCCGGCGACGATTCGACCGAAGGTCGCGAGCGACGCGAATACTTGACAGCGGCGATCAGCTGTCAAATCGACTCGCAAACGATCACCCGTCGCGGGTTCGATACTCTGGACGATCTTTGGATGCGGATCCGCCCAATATGGTCGAAAAAACGTGGAACCGATAAGCGGCGATGAGACCCCAACTGTCCCCCAGCGACGCGCGACCCGAACTGACTGGTCGGAAAACTGCGGTCACGTGACCGCGACTCGCGGTTACTTCACGCGGTACGCGGGAAAAAGGCGCGAAGTCCCAAATGACGCTCGACGCTCCTTTCAACGTCAAAACATAAAGGATATTAAACGTCATGCGATAGAAAATAATAATCAAATTAATATTGAATAAACTTATATTTAAATTAATATTTTTATCTTTAATTACCGGCGAGAAATGATAGTCAAATTGAACGCCGAGTCGATATCGATTGGTCGAGTCGACGTCGATTCGATCGATTGTTTCTCGCTCGATCGATTTATATATATATAAACTTTATTGTGCACAATGAATTCGCAGCAATTAAACTGCGGTAAGATAAAATTGATGTGTGTATAGATAAAATGAAAGAGTTTGATTAATTGATTTGATTGACAGGTGCAAGGGCTTCTTCAAGAGAACTGTACAAAATAGGCGAGTGTATACGTGCGTGGCGGAGGGCGGCTGCGAAATTACGAAAGCGCAGAGGAACAGATGTCAATACTGCCGATTTAAGAAATGCATCGAACAGGGTATGGTTTTGCAAGCGGTTCGAGAAGACCGGATGCCTGGGGGAAGGAATTCCGGTGCAGTGTACAATCTTTACAAGGTATGGACTAAACAAGATTTTTAACAACAATATAAGGTTAGGTCACTACGTCAACTGCTCAATTTCTGTTTTATATATTCTATAAATAATATATATTTATTAACATTTATATATATATATATATATATTTACTACATTATAATTTTTTTTTAAATAAACATCGATTATTAATTATTTATTAACATTCTTAATTTTTTCACCATAAACTTTCATGTTCTCTTTTGCTAACATTTCTCTCTTTAGTCATGCAGAAAATTATGAATACAAGTAAAATAAAAATATTATTCATTTATCTTTTCACATTTTATCGATCATTACATTGTTTGACACAAAATTATTCCTCGTAGTGTTAATATTTATTATTTTATGCTGCAAAATTTATGCAAAATTTATATACGTTGTCCATGTAAATATAATTATGATAATTGAGATAAATATTAGAATAAATTTGCGAGTTTATTCTTGCAGAAAAGTGATTGTAGAATCTCAGATTAACATAATATTGTTATATACTTATAATAATTAAGATAGAAAATTGAAATAATTAAAATAGAAATAATATAAAAATTCTCAATGAAAATACTGTTTATTTTACTTTCTATACAGAGAGAATTTTCTCTTAGAATTTATTCTGAAATTCATGGTGTGGCAATATGTGGTATTGAAAGAAATTTTATAAGAGTTTCTCTCATTAATATTGACCACAATAAAAAATATTAATATCTATTGAAATAAGAGATATAAAATATGTTTATTTGACTAAAATATATAGTAAAATTTATAAATTTTAAAATATATTAAAAACTATTAAATATTAACTAATTTTAATGCATAGATTTTTAATGATCAACGATGATTAGAACAAAAATTAATCATACGAATTATATTATAATATATAATTAATTCTCTTAATTTTTTGTATAAAGATTTTTATATAGAAAATTTATTTTAATATTTATCATGAAATATTTGTCGAAAAATGTTTAAACTTAAAGTATCTTAAGAAAATAAAAGATCTATTTTGTTTCAAATATATAATAAGACTTTATCACAAAATAAATATAATAAAAACTTATGATTCTTTAACTGTCTTAAATATAATAGATGCCAAAAAAGTAATAAACGTATAAAATATTTTATATAAATTTCACAATGCAGCATATTTTCAGCTTAATCGTTTATATATAATAATTTTAACATGCAGCATGGCAATTTTTGGCTTATTACCAACCATGATAGTAGTAAATTTTGCGGTAAAATATAACGAAAAATTCTATCCACGTATAAATTGTATATGTATAAAGATTGTTATTACTTAATTAGAAATTATTTTCCATCCTTACAATCTCTTTAAAAAATGATGCTTAAATATATCCGTATAAGTATAGTTATTTGTAATTATTTAAAAGTAAATCAAGAAAATCCGCAAGTTAAACTCTCTCCCACATCACCTGAGATTTCCTTAAAGGGCATGATAAATAGATAATAAACCCGTCAAGAATTAATGTGAATTGTCATAAAATAAAGATTGCTCGTAGGTGAAATACAAGAAGCACAAGAAGAGCAACAAAGCTGGTGGCGGCATGAGCAGTAGTAATGTCGGTGGTGTAAACGGCTCGGGATCCCTGGGGGGCACCAAGGGTGCCATGGGTACGACGATGTTGGACAAGCACATGGCTGCGGCTGCAGCCGCTCATCACAGCCAGCAGCAGCAGCAGCATGCCCAGCTGGCAGGTAGTTTTCTTCATCATCACAAAATCTCGTCAGGTGATCCCCTCAATTCGCCATCCACCCCAAGTCATCCGAGCCACCCTGCTCACTCGGGCCACCTCGTCAACGGGACGATCCTGAAGACGGCGCTCACCAATCCCTCCGAAGTGAGTATTCTTCGGCTTTGTCATTCTAGAATTTATTTTAAAGTGTATATGCGGAATTGCATTTTTAATGTACAGGTGCATTTTCGATGATCAGTGATGATTAGAAGCAGAAGAAAAATTAATCACAAGTACTCTTTTTCATTGTATGAAGATTTCATATAGAAAATTTCTTTTAATATTTATCATGAAATATCTGTGAAAAAATATTTAAACTCAAAGTATCTTAAGGAAATGAAAAATCCACTTGGTTGTAAATATACAATAAGGCTTTGTTATTAAATCGCTTTTTAAAATCAAAAATTGTTAATTCATATATGACGTCGACATTTTAACAAAAGAGAAAAGTCAAATTAAAGAATCTGTCATTAAATTGGAGCCATAAATGTTCTCACGATTTTACGCAGAATTGCTAAACATTTCCCATAGTATATCTAAATAAAAATTTATCCAACGCATTCATGCCAAATGGTTTATCGCTGATCACCGAGGCTGAACCGTGCGAATTCGCCTTCAGCGAGAGAGAAAGATTCTCCAAAGTAGATTCGTCGTCTCGACTGTTTCCGCATATTTCGCGAAATAGAGAACTAGTTCAATTGCGACATGATGTGCATCGCGGGTGTCATAACTTGTACCCATTTTCCCTAATTATTCGAGCATTACGCAAGAACATATTTGTCGTCAGCGACGTAATACAGATTAATTTCGGTCGCGCCAGATGCTTATCATTTATTATTTATTATTGGTGATGTGCGTGAAATACGCGCGAAAACTTTCTAAAAATTGCTCCGATCGCACGATTATCCCACTTAAAAGTCCGCTATTAATTCGTACGAGAAGGGAGAAATTTTTATATTATCTTTCCTCGGTTGCACACGATATATATAATAGATCAACGTTCGCGCGAATCGCTTGCTTGTCGTCTAATTTACGTGATTTATATAGCATAGTTCTAGTTAGAAATCGAGCATAGGTCAACAAAAGTCGACTTCTCGATCGCCAACAAGGGAATCCGGTGCTTTGAGATGAGAATTGAGGCGCCGCAGGCGTCTTCGCTTTCACTTTCGAAGCAGCTGCGATGCAAGATCGCTTGAAAATCTTCGTCGTGATGATCTTTTGTTCCACTTCCAACCTAATAATTTCTTTAGTTATCTTACACTTTTATTTATTTTTTTATCGATTTTTTTAACGTCTCTTTTTCATAATTTTTAAATATTAAAAAAATATTTTTTGTTAACTGTGTCTGAAATCCTGCATTAAGATAAAGTCTGCTTAAAATCAAATTAAAAATTATTCTTTTACTTATCTATTTTTTTACTATATTTTTCTTTATTTTTCTTTTTGTAAAATTGATTATTTCCAGAGATATTCTGTTACTTATGGATTAAATTTATTATTATTAAATATACGTTTGATTGGATACTTGCAATCCGTATTTAATACCGATATCTTTAGGTGGGAAAATAAAGATCGAACCACTTTGATGAAGTCAGAATTGCATCATAGATATCTATACGAATCTATGACGGCAAAGAACCTGTTACTATCAGTAGAAATCTTAGATCAAACATCATGAAGTACTTGGTTCTCTATATAGTACACTTTGGGAAACGAGATAATGATACAATACATTGTGTACGTGATACTCGTTAATTAAATTATTATGAACACACTGGTCTTACACTTAGTAACGAACCAGAAAATATGCAATTAACATTACAGAGATAAATCGTAGATAAATTGAAGTAGGTGGTAGTATTTTTAAAAAATGAAAAAATATATATATTTTATTATAGAGAAAGAGATAATTTTTTATATTTTAAATTCATATTCATACATAATTTGTACATAATAACGAAATAAAAATATCTAATATAATAAAGATTTCATAGAATTTGTGCAATTATCTTTTAAAAATATAATCGCAGAATATATGCAAATTTAGTGATTATTTATCAATGATTGGTCATTCACTTTTACTTTGTTGTATAAATTTTTGATACAAACACTTTAAAAGAACATACATACTTTGCATGAGAATTTAAGATATTTTAATGCCAAACAATAGTGGAATGTGGAATTGTCAAACAATAATGGAATTACGCGGAGGTAAATAGCAAATTCGGTTTGTGTGTGATCGGTTTCTCTCACCGATTCTGGAATGAATGAACTCCCCGTCACAATTTCACTTTCTTACGGCTCGGTTTGCGCAAGCCTCAAGGTTTCCCACATTGCGAAAGCCGATAGATAGAACGAGCAAAAATCAACTGATTGTCGTCGGTGTCATTGTGCCGTACAATTTTTTTCTTTGCATTTTTTGACATAATACGAACCGCATATCTTGCAAAAAATTATATCTAATATTTCTATATATTTCCCAAATGACAAAGATTTTTCATTAAAAAAAAAAAATGTTTGATAACATAATATAAAAAAAATCATTAATATTATATAAAAATCAGTTATATAAATGAGAAATACGAAAATAATTTTCAGAAAATAGAATTGTTTACAACAGGATTGAATAATGTTTTTTTTTATTTGATATATTACAGAATTGTATGCATTGAATGATTCGCATCTGGATTTTTTCAAGTGGAATGATCGTGAAACTGATTGAAAAATTATGCGCATATTACGTCCGATCAGATGAGCAAACGAAAGTACTGCCGCGATCGCTCAAATAGCCTGGTAGAGGCCATTGCCAAAAGTGAAATTGATGCCACCAAAACTGGATAAATGTTGACTGTTACGGTGCTCCATTAAAAAGAGATCACTTTCGAGCCGCGGTTGGATCATCATATGTGAGATGCACAATAAGACAGCTATGTACATACATCTTTGAAGTGGAAATTTTGTGAAAGATAAAGAATTGCTAACTCAACGCGATTGCTTTCATCGAGGAAAGAGATATATTTGTCCGTAAAAATAACGCGAAAATAAATTATTCGATCATCAATTTTAATATAAATTATATAACGCGGAGAAATTCTGGACATTTATTTTTTATCATTAGAAAATAAATTCTGTAAATAAGTTCTTTATTATAAAATAACATCATTTTTATTTGTATGAATTTGTACATAATATATTATGTGTCTATAAATATGAGACTAAACAAAAACACATTAATTAAAAATACTTATATTAATTGCATGTATTATAGTTTCTAGCTTAAAAGAAATATAAATAATCTTTCTATAATTATTACAAATATGTTTACGAGATATATATTGATATTTTATACAATGAGAGTGAAATATATACGATGACATTAAAATTGATTATATTACGTATCTTTATTATTAAATTTATCTTGCAGAAACGTCAACATTTCTAGATATGTCAATTAAAAAAAATGTTTGCGCCATAATTATCACATACAAAAATAATATCTTTCACGAAAATATTTCACTATTACAATTTTACTAACAATTGCTGTCGAAATAATCACAAACAGAATTGTAATTTACGTACGGCATAATTACTGCACTTAGTGCGGGTACATCAATAAGCTACAGTTGCAGCAGACATTACCAGATACTAACAGCATCGCAGATATACCCCTTCATTATAATCGCGCGAAGTCTCGTTACGCGTGAAACGTCGTTCATCATCGTCGCTGCGAACGATACATCGGCGACGAAGGCAGGGACAATAGAAAATCAGCGGCAGCCGGTGCCAAGGACGGGCAGTTCTCCGATGGTTTCGTAACTCGTGAAAGTCTGCACGAGGGACAGTGACCTCACCCTTCCACCTCTTCTGGATATCTCCTCCCTCATCTTCCCCGCGTCACTCTCGTTTCTTCCTCATATCGAGCCTTCAACTGCGAATGCATCCCACGGTTCTCCAGGACGGTCGCTTACGTTACATGGATCTTCGAGACATCCGACAAAGCGACCAGCTTTCCCCCGAAGTCAACCGAGTTGCTGGGCCTTTTCTCTTTCTCTTTATCTCGCTCTCGTGCACTCTCCCGACCCCGAGGAAGTGTTTCGAGGTCCGAAAGGTCAGTGAAAGGCTGAACCTTTACCGGTTGGATCACGCGCGCGGCCACCGAACTCGGATTGCGACCAGAAAAATGCTTTAGGAATCGTAATTTTCGTTTCAGTCTTTTCGAAAAATCTTTTGGGTAAACGCTAGAAAGGCTTCCGATGTCACATAATAATAATAATGACAAATATTGAAAGAAATAAGTTGCATCGATATGTGGAATATCTGAAAATGAAAATGTATGGAATAAAAATATGAAACAATTTATAATAATATGTATTAATGTGAATGGTATGTGTGTTTAAGGTGGTGCATTTACGGCAAAGGCTAGATAATACAGTAAGCAGTTCGAGGGATCGAGTCTTTCCTCTGGATGCAACCCTAACTATGATCCAAACCCTTATAGACTGCGACGAGTTTCAAGATATCGCCACATTGAGAGTACGTGAATATTATTACTTTCTTTTAGAGTAAAATGTACATAATTTTTTATTTTTAAAACGACCAACGTAGAAACATTAATTGATATAATTTTTTTTCACAAAAGAATATTTTTCGTATATCTAAAACATTTGCAAATGTAATTAATAAATGTTATTTAATTAGCTTAATTTTTTTATTTCTGAAAATAATAACAACAAATAAAAATAATGTTTTAACTAATTTTTTATTACATTATTTTAATTAAAAGATAAGGATATATAAAATATTATGTATGGTTAACTCTCAAACAAAAAATATCGAGCTTCAAGATTACATAAATCTTCCACGTTACAGAACTTGGACGAGCTGCTGGACCATAATTCAGATTTAAGTGAGAAGCTGTGTCAAATAGGAGACAGCATAGTGTACAAGTTGGTGCAGTGGACCAAAAGGTTACCGTTTTACCTTGAGCTACCGGTCGAAGTTCATACGAGGTTGCTTACCCATAAGTGGCATGAACTTCTTGTGTTGACCACCTCTGCCTATCAAGCGATGCATGGTCAGCATGGGTTAACTAATGTTGGTACTGACGGAACGAATGCAGATTTTATGCAAGAAGTAATTACTTTTGTAGTCATTTATGCGTCTTACAAACCCATAATATAATAAAAAATATATATATTTTATTTGTGGATTAAATGACGAATATATTTAAATTTGTTTCTAATATATTCTTCAACAATCAGGTAACGAACAACATGTATACGTTGCAAACGTGCCTAACCAGCATGATGGGTCGACCGATAACCATGGACCAATTGCGGCAAGACGTAGGGCTCATGGTAGAGAAAATAACATATGTCACGCTAATGTTCAGGCGGGTGAGGCTACGGATGGAGGAATATGTTTGTCTAAAAGTAATCACTATGCTCTCACAAGGTAGGTACTTTTACTGACGTCGGTTCGCATTTTTTTTTATTGATTGTTATCCTGTTCTTTAAGTTTTTTGATTATGTAACATAAGCATTATATAATAATATAAATGTACCTTCTTCCCGATGCTACAATTGGAGATACGAAATGTAAGTTTAAAATATTTTCTTAAAGCACCTCCGCATACGCATGCATAGAATGTGTAATTTTAAATTAAATTTGTTTACTAAAAAATCTATATACATTCTTTTAAATAAATTATCATTATTCAATATATTAAATCCAATTTAATTTAATTAAATCTAATGAAAATATGAAAATCAAGTCAAAATAAAAAATTCCATAAATTATACTTATAAAAATTTAATGCCTCAAATTTTTTAAATATATTGGATAGCGGAATCTTTGCATATTTTACCTGATCTCGTTTGTCTCCTTTAGCACGAGGTGGTACACTGGAATTAGAACAGATACAAGAACGATACATGAGCTGTTTGCGAAGTTTTGTCGAACACAGTGCGCCCCAGCAGCCAAGTCGATTTCATGATCTTCTCATTAGGTTGCCTGAAGTAAGTTTTAAAAAAATATATCGAACGCGCGCGTAGGACAAATTTCCAAAGCAAACGATATAGTTTTTAAATTAATATTATATAAATCAATCAAATAATTGTTTAATTATTGAATATTTTATTCGGTCCAAAAAATATTTATTATTTAAGGTAATAATATCATAAAATAATTTCGTTCAAGTATATAGAATTCGTCTGTTTCCTAAATTACAGGTACAATCAGCGGCGGCTTTACTACTCGAGAGTAAAATGTTTTACGTTCCTTTCCTATTGAATTCAGCAATTCAAAGATAGTAAATAAACAAAGTGACGCTAAACGAAGCTGAATACCTATATACATATTATACATATGTTATAAATATATACACACAAAAAGGTAAGAAAACCGAACAAACAGACGACAAGCAACAAATGAATAGAAAGAAAGCAGAAAGAAAAGAGCCCAACGAGAAAAAAAAAGAGAACTCGAATACCGAATGGGGAAAGGCTTTGTTTGTGTATGTATAATAAATATATATATATAAAAGTATATATATACATATAAATAATATAAATGTGTGTGTTCGTTGCGGTGTACAAACGAAGGAGGACGAATAAGGAGGAGAAATCGTTCAAACGAAATGGAACGAAATGGAACAGTGGACGATATAGAAAGTAATTACGTCGGGAGCGAAAAGAGAGAGGGAGGATTTAAATAAAAAAATATTAAAGAAAAAAATATAAAAGTTAGAGAGAGAAAGAGAGTGAGAGCGAGAGAGGGAGAGAAAGGGAGGGAGAGAAAGAAAGCGCGCCACCTCGAGATGGGTAAATCAATCCGAGGAGGGAACTGAACTTTTTTATCGAAACTAAAAGACTATAATATAATATATTTCTGTACGCAAACACGTACCGCGCAACTACGTCATTGTGTGTTCACATTGCATAATCCGATCGAATAAAAATAAGACTCTCGTTACGTACCGCTCACCGTAGGCCACCTACTACTATCATTAACTATTACTACTATTGCTACTATTACCGCCACTTTCTACTACTACCGCTCTCGAAGTTAAAAGAAAAAAAATACAGCAGCAGCAGCAGACACACCACGAAATGACTGAATGAAGGATCAATCGTTTGGATCGATCGACTGGCCGATGACGACGCGTTATTGTCATCCCAGCTCGACGTGGAATCATCGAGCATCACAAATCGAAACGTATTAACACACATTTACATACATGCATACATACAGACAGACATATACATTTTCTAGATACCTCGCCACGACGTATCGATGTGATCTTCTCCTCGCAATTATCGCTCGCCATCAACGTGCGTAAAGGGTGTGATATTATACAGTTACTTTCTTCTCCCGTTATCATTCTTTCTTCACCTGCACATCGTCGACAGGAATAAATACATTATGAGTATCTTCATGATCTAGTGATCACGATAATTCTATCTGTCAAAAGTAAAAAGATAAGAACTGTAACTTTTCACATTCACCGAAAATGCAATTGTTTTCGGCGCGAAATAACACAGAAAGATCAAGAGCGAAAAAGTGGAAACATTCACCGAAAATTCTTCAGCTAACATGACAGCGAGAAGAGGAGCCACAGAAGAAAACGAAACTATATATACGTAAAAACCTCGTATACTCAGTGTTTCACGTCTGTATTACACATGCATCCGGATGCGAGTATTTATTACGTATATGTATTCCACAACCGTCAACATCGAGTCATCGTCATCTTTGTCGTCGTCGTCGTCGTCATCGTTAATCTATCGTCGTCGTCGCCACCATTCAACACTCCGAAAGTATAGTCCAAGCGCGCAACGCAAAAGACTCTCTTTACTTTATTATAGTATATCGGTTCGTTTGTTTATACATTTTTGATGCGACTTTTATATCGCGCCATTACAAACGCATTAATCGTTAATCGTATATAGGATTTTCCACTTGCGTCGCGCGTTCTTCGGACGATCTCCGATCTTCCATTTATTATTTTTGAAGACCGTTTGCGCTAATTTTCTACTCGTATTATCACTTGTAAGATAAAGCGATTTCCATTTAATTAAAGTTTAAGTCTTTTAATTAAGGTTTATAAGAGCAATCCATAAATTGACGAAATTATTTACTTAATTTGGAACATTGGTTGACTAGTATTATTAATTAATAAGAATAATTAGAAAAAAGAAAAACATGATAGATATATATATGATGTTATTAAATTATAAAAATGTTTATAAAGACAATTTGTTATGTTTTAGCTACTACATTTTATTATAATAATCAACGTAAAAGTGGAGTTTTTAAATTATTTAATAGTTAAATTTTCTAGTCGATTTTACTTAGCAATTTTATATTTTTTTTTTATTCACGAATATTTTGGCATTCTTGATGGAAATATTTTACAGACGTTATAATGAAATCATACTGAAATAATACTGAAATTTCAATCTATTTTCAAATTAATTCAATAACTGTATTTGAATAACATTATAAACTAAGTTTATTACACAATTTTTTATATATATTTTTGCATTTTTTAGTTTAATTTTACGAAATTATTTAATAATTATATCAACAGTTTTCATCAATATTTTAATAATTCAATAAATATTTAACATTAAATAATGTTTAGAAACAACGCAATTTTTAGTAAAATTCTGCAAATTTTAAAACAAAATAATATGTTATAGTATCATTAGTTTTCAAAAATACAAAATTTTATTTTCATAACTTATAGTATATAATTATATTTTATTGTGACAATTCTGATTTATATTGAAATAATTCAGTAATTATTCAGTTATGTATATTTTTATTTTCAACAAATTAATTATAATTTTAACGAAATATTTCCATCGAGAATATTTATTAATAGTTTGCCTTACTATAATATAATTAAGCAAAATTAATATTAAGAATATTACATAGACATATGCATATAATATTTTTGCAAAAAAGAAAACGAATTTTTTTTAATAAGATATATAATTTTTTTGTATAATAAGATATTATAAGGTAAACTTTTTATTTAAATTATTTTGATAATTTTCTTTATTTAAACTATTTCATGAATTTTTTGATTTGAGAGATCTTTTGTTTGAGAGACTCATATTCTCGATAAGTTTTCTATTTTCCAATTTTTGCGCAATAGAATACTGTATGGCATTTCTCCTTTGCATTTCCATTTTTACTAGATTACTATAAAAGTGTAAAAAAAAATGGAAAATTGAATCGTTCGCAGTACGCGCGTCGTTTGTTTCTTCGAGAATCGCAACTAAAGTACGAAGAGCGGAGAGCTCTCTTATATTATTCCTCGCTGAAATGATATTTTCATAGTATTACGACGATAAGGAAGTAAAGAAGCGCAACATGTACATATAGAAACATTTACATGAGCACACGTATCTCTGTCGCGAGAAAATTTCACATTTTTTTTTTTCATTTCAAAGTCATTACTTAAATAGTTAAAAAAAAAGATTATTGAAGAATTTTGCTTCTTATATTGTTTCTTATGACATAACATATACATATATGTATGAATATATGTGCATGTCCAGATGGACTACTTGTGATAATTAATCGCCTCTCTCGCGAAACGGAGATACCAGTTGCTCCGAGATTGTTTCATTCATTTGTGGAAACGTCGTAAAATCGCAGAAAGATGAAAAAAAAAACCGGTGGCTGACGCCGTTCGAAACGTCGTTCGTGTCTTGAAAGATATTGCTCCTTATGTATACGCATATAACGATTAATTCCGCACGTTCTGTCGACGTGATTGTTTCATCTTGCCTCTCCATAGAAGATATCGTAAATATGCGCTAATCGCCTGTCAAGTTTGTGGCCACGAGGATGTTATGGGAGGCGTAATTTTTCGTCCTTTTTATCCAGTTGATTAATTTTAATTGTTATAATTTATTTTAAACGACAAAATTATATTAAATTTAGGATTTTGTTATGTTTTACATTAGTGATGTTAAATCATACGGTTAATTATATGGTTTTATGATCACACATTGCAAATTATAAAAATTATATTTATTTCCACGAATAAGCCAACTTTGCTGATCTCGATTTTATAATAATTTCTATACCGGACATATTCATTTTAATATATATATATATACAAGATCATATATATATACCAGAGATCAATATATATATTAAAATGAATATGTCCGGTATAGAAATTATTATAAAATCGAGATCTGCAAAGTTGGCTTATTTATATATATATATATATATATAATTGATATTCCTTATTGTTTAATTTTCCAATTTTTGTCTATTTTATATTTCTTTTATCGTCGAACTTTCAATCACATCCGTGGCCACGAACCCAACGTTCCAGAGATCAACATGAATTATAACACGGACCTTGGGCCTATTAGCCTAAGGATACTTGTCCATACTATAAGACTTAACTAAATGATGATACTTCATACAGTAAACGTTGTATATTATTTGACGTTAAGAAACAGTAGGGGTAACAGTTTCTGTATTTACCAGACATCGTACGCTTTCTGTATTTAATCCGATGATATACAAATGCATGATCAACCTTATTAAAAAAGTCGAGAGTTTTATTAACGAATAGGATAGAATATATATTTCATTTTAATCGTCTATTGTCAAATAGTTTTGGGGAAAAATTTAAGAATTATCGAATTGAATGACCAAGCAAATTCTTTTCAAAATTTTTAAAATCTATCTAATTTCCTAACGATAAAAGAAAATTGATCTGTTTTTAGCTCGTTTTTTGTATTTTAAGAAAAATACATTTATATTATGAAAACAAAGAAAACAATTTTTTAAATTATATATGTGATGTTAGGAAGTAAAAAAAGCGCAGATGAAAAGACTAACATAATATCTTGTATTAACATTTTTCGATATCCTTATTGAAAAATGTTGCGTTGAAATTCAATATTAATACGATTGCTTTTGATATTTATTGATAATTATTTAATATTTGTCAATGACTATTTTATCAATATTATCAGCAGTAATTGTCGATTATGAAAAACGAGTTTCGAAAAAACACCAATTATGCATACACATACACATATCAATTTTTCAATTATTTTTAAAGCAATATTTTTGACAAATAAACATCGAGAGAATTTAGCAAATAAGATTTTCGAAATAAAAAAGAAGATCAAATGAGCTTATTCTTTAGAAAATTTTAGATAACTTTTACTTGAATTTAAAAAATTTATTTGTTTAGTTATCAGAATATTTTAATTTTAAAAATTTAGGTTTAAAGGAATATAATATAATCTTGAAAGCTATTTTTTTTTCAAAAAGATGAAGTTTTAATCAAAGATTCACAGGATGAAAGGAGTAATGATTAGTGCATGTATATGGATGTTCTTCTACCGTTTAAATATTTTATTTTAAAAAATGTCGATGTCTGGGAATACAGTAATTGCTTACGGGAAAGCTAAAGCGTTGGATCAGCAAGACTTAGGGCATTATACTACAAAGAGTATTATCATGCCCAACCCTTTAATATTTAAGTGCGAGTGAGAGTCTATCGAGCAAAAGAATGATAGAAAAAAAAGAAATCTAATGAAAAAGAAAAAAAAATGAAAAAAAAAACCGCAAAAACCAGCACGCGCCTCTCGTTTGTGGGTTCAACTTTGTGTACATATTGTACGAAAAGTTTAATAATAACTATGTTGAAAGTACTAGTCCTGTCTTTGTATAATTCCGTGTTATATATTCGTGCTCGAGAGCCGCAAGCGACATCGCCGTCTTATTTTGTCAAATTACGAGGAAGTGAACGAAATTTTTCGCATTTGTTCTCTTTTATTATTTTTCGCATTTATCGGCAAGATTTAATACGAACAGATACATTTTAAACTGTGATTGTCTCTTTAAAAACGATATATATATATATATATATATATATATATATATGCATTGCTCAATGTTTAAAAAGTAATTTTATACAAGTTTTAAGACCATCTACATTAGAAAAATCCTTGAGTAAAATTTAATAAAATTCCGAGAAACTGTCGTAATTTTTATACGCAGAAGAGAAATTTTATATATATTTTTTTAAATTATAGTTTCTGTTTTAACAATATATTTCGAAATTTTTATTGCGCATTTTATTCAAATGTTACTTTTTTTAAACATTGATTTATTTCGATGTTAAACATAACACACTGTAAACACAGTACGATATTATGGAAATGTTTTATCAGATATATCGCATTAGTTATGATTGACTATATATATGTTACGTGATCTTAGTATTTTAATTGCATTTAATTAATAAGCCGGCGCTTAACTTATTACAACTAGATTAAATTTGATTTAATCTAGCGATATGAGAATTATTTAAATTAAACCTATATTAATGTAACTTTTTTCACTCTTTTTCTTCGCATTTTTTATACAAGAAATTCACATATATTGGATCTTTCACTTCCTCTTAATCGAGATGAACGAATCGGTGCGTGTCCCTCGTTGCAATTATATCGAAATAAGAGGCACGAGAAGAAATGCAAATGTTTAACCCAGAAACGACGGTCGAGAAGAGAAGTTAAAAAAAAGCCGGATTGGCTAGAGAGAGAAAAAGATACTTTTTCAATGAGTGAGTCAAAAGTTACCAATTTCTACCTACGTTTAGGGAAGAAGTATGTTTTTATTATCTCGTTTATCTTCGATTATATTCCTTTTGTAATTGAGATGTCGGCACCATTGCGTGAATCGCCGTTCTGTCGGGAACCGAGTGTCGCCCTTTCACGATGTCGAAAACACGACTTGTTGATCACAATAATTTTGTGATAAATTTCTTCTGATATATAGCGCTGCCGAGATATGTATAATGTGCTTTTCATCGTGAGCCTTTTTTTCTATCGCACAGCGAGAATAAGCACATTGATAAAAGTCAATTATGCTGTTGTGCATTACGTTTGATAATAAAAATTGTAATATAATGTCTCTTTCCTCTCTCTGTTTTCTGACGAACGAAAAATTTCGTACAACAAAACTTTCTAGAGCAAGTACTTTTCAATATTTTGTATATATAGATTTAATGGTAAAATATACGCGGAGTACGAATAATCATAAGACTGACAAATCGTAGATTTCGATACGTTGATAAAATCATATATATATATATGTTACTTGTTGGATTTAGAATGTTAATCAGATTCTACACGACTTTTTTTTTTAAAGGCATTTAAATTATCGTCATTTTAATTATCATTTTTTTCTCGATAATGTTAGAAAAAACTTCGCGCGTACCAACAATAAAATTCACTCGTTGCATTTTGTTACTGCATTTGTTGCTATTGAAAAATTCCATTTTAAAATTATTACGAAATTCTCATATAAATATGTATATGTAATTGTGATGTGTGAGTTACAGAATAAGTACAATTCTATTAAATTGATCAAAATTCTTACGGATGGATATAGAAGCGCAAGTAGAGACGAAAAGAAAGTAATTTCACTAGAATCAACAAGCATGTAGAGTAATTCGACCAATTTGATGGGCTTTCGGTTTCGGGCGAAACAGGCCAAATTTCACGCATGGCGCATGCGAACCCCCCTGTATTTTTATGAATAAATAAGATATTTAAAGAAGAAAAAAGAGAGAAGTAAATCTGAAGTCTGTTTGGAGATGCCTTTCATAGGGATTATAAATGTAGATAATATATTATACATAATGAACATAAATACGCTATATTATTATATATAAATATATATATATATATATAAATATAGGAGTAAATAGAATTATTATATATATATATATGATGAAAATAATATTATTACGAGTAAATATATATATATATATATATATAAACTGATTAAAGATTAATAAAAAAAAAAAACTCGTCCGCCGTTTAATCATGTATCTCATACCACTCTCCTATTATATTACTCCTTATTTCATTTGTAGTAATTTGTACTCTTATTTTTTCTATCTATTTACAATCGCTTACATGTACATGAATCAGGAGTTTTATTGGCAAAATGCAATCAAGTGCAATTTTTCACGCATTTTTATTACAGACGTTCTTCATTACATTAACATAACAAAGTCTATACTTTCAAGGTACATGATGATCGTTTTAAAATGATGTCTACCTGTGAGATCTTTAAGGATTATGCGCAGTGTTCAAGCTCCCGCACGGAGCACATTAAGCTAAATTAGTCTTCGTTATTTTATTTATCTTGCAAATTGTCTTTATTTGTTCTCTCTCGCGAGCTTGCCGATTTTATTTATGGTATCGAGTCGTCGCAAGCGCTTGGACACTTCGATAAGATTAAAGCGATCACAGACAGAGGCATTTCGGAAGAGGAAACGCCGCGAACACCCCGATAATCGATACAGAGGCTAATACTTTTTTCCCAAGAATTTCTAGGATACCCGTATCGCACATAGGACATTCACGTCGTTGCGACTCCATTTCACGACTCGGAGGCTGCAAATGTAGCGAGTCGAGTTTGTAACGCAAGCTCCGTGTCTCGTTTCGTTCTTTCGGGGATACGCTCTTTCACCTAATGTAATATATTTATTCGTGTAAAATATTGCGTATAATTGTACGTACGTTGCAATAAATGTAGTAGACAAATAGATAATATCTTGCGCGCGTGATGTAAAATATAAGACCTAAAAGGAGTAGAGGAGTGTATAGTAAAATTGTAAAACGTAAACATCTCTCGTAGAAAAGTTTCGCGAAAAAAAAAAAAAAAAAAAAAAAAAAAAACATTTGTTCCAAATATATATATATATGTATATATCATAGTAGGAAACTTGCGAAATAGTGTTAAAAGAGAAATGGTAAAAAGAAATGTTTTTCTCGTACGTTCTCGTTAAGCTCTGGTATTTGTGTGACTCTTCGTCCTTATGTTAGTTCGTCTATGATTATCTGTCAGTAAGAAAGCATTTATACTTCTAGTAGACCGTCATGTTATAGTTCTGAAGGCACTGTTCAAAAGTTTATTATATTTCTTAAAATAACGGGTCTTCACAAAACTTCACCACGGTGTGACAAGGAGAGTCGTTATAAACATCGACATTACCAATGCACACGCCTCCTTCGATCTATATCACAAAATTCAAAATAGAGTAGTCTCAACTTGACAGCCAGTGCCACAATGCCAATGCCGTATTTGTCGGGTCTGTGATCGATTAGGAATTATCGTGAGCTAGCAAAAATCGATGGTCAGAATTCAGGCTTATGATACGCAATGGCCAGTGCATTCCATTAATTATGTCATATCAATATCGTTATTATTATATTACACAAACGCTTATTAATTTAGAGGCACATTGCAAGGGTCTCGGTTTTTTTTTCCTTTTAAAGTTGCTCCCTACATTAATGAACTTATGACAATTAGCTAATTACGATTATTTTTAGTACGACAGCGATTTGGCATACAATATTGGAAACTGTACAAAGATTCGGAGAATACAATAGTATTTGAAAATATTGCTTTGTACATATATATATTATATATAGAGAAAGAGAGAGAAGTGCGGCGAGAACAAACTGTGGATTTTTTTTTTCTTTTGAAGAAAAAAAAATATCAATATGTATCTTGAAATGCTTTACAAGTAATATTGAGCTCAGAATTACTTAAAATTAAGCATAAAAAATGTGTCATGTGCATAAAAATAATAAGAAAAACTTCTACAGATGGATTAACGATCCGGATTTCCTTATCTAGGCAGGAAACTTTGGCTCTACTACTATACGCTATTTGTACCTCGGCGCAAGAGCCGAATTTACGATTCTGCTACTAAGAACACTGATTGCGCGTCTAGAAGAAAAAAAGAACTGCACGCAGCACACACAGTACCTAAACCAGAAACAGATCATTTACATGTTCAGGAAGACCTTAACAGTACTATATATGCTCACGCTTTAATAAACCTGAATTCTACGCACAACGATTGCAATCAAAGAAGCATTCACTGTACTCAGAGAGTGTACTTTGCCGGAATGTTTTTGAATGTGGTACATTTCAATTTTTTTTTCTTTTTTTATTTAATCGTTTGCACACAGCACTGGACTATTTGTGTTTTTCGCGTTCATAAATTATTTAAAAGCTCTTAGTCTTTTGAACATTAAAGTCCAGGATGCTGCTCTGAGATATGAATGCTCTATAGGATGTACACAGTAGACAGCAAAAGCGTCTAGACCACAGAATGTTCACATTTACTCTGGTGCAAAATATTGTTTCTTTTTTCTCGAACTACAAAAATCAGGCTGATGCAATGGCAGATACTATTTATATATATAAAAGTTAGCTTTATAACATGTAAAACCTGATAAAGTTCTTAAAAAATCTAAAGGACATTCCCTGAACAAGAGCAATCACACGACAATTCAGTCCTCGAAGTATCGCATTTCGATCATAGAATGCATCAAACAATTTTTTGTTCATTTTATTCTTTTTAAGGAAATCAAAATTCTAGAATATTACCAGCCTGTGATATATTTTATCATTCCGTCATAGTACCAGCCTGGGTCCGATCAATCTAGTCATGTGATTCCGTAAAGTCTAGACACAGACACTTCTCTCCTGCGTCCGTACAAATGAGCCACTAAGTTAGATCACAAAAAGTATGGTGTGGGCGTTAGAGGTGGGATTACTCTCTCGGAATCAGGCACTGCCTGGAACAGCACGGGTGTTCTCTGATCCACTGTTGTAAACTGCATGATACTAGCTACGTTACCACATCGGTAACAATAATTTGGAGCTGACCACACTGTGACAAGTTTGTCATTAAACATGTACCTATAACCTGCCAAAGAGAAAAGAAATACATATTATACATTTTCAATGACCAAAGAAAGTACAGTAGAAATTAAAATGTTTACATTGGAATATTTATATAAATGAAAAACCATACCTTCTTGAACTAGTTGATGTGCCCTACAGATGAGTTTAAGATCGTTTACTTCCATGAACATGTAAGTTACTTTACTGCCAAACAACCAACCTGCACCACGCGGGCTTACTGTCCATGTTTCTACATCCTCTGGATCGGACCAGACCAAATCACAGAAAGCACCTATAATACAGTAATTATATATATAAGCAAAAAGAATTCATTATTGTTTGGTAAGTATAATTTGCCTAATTATGTAATATTTAACAATGTGGAATGTCATAATATTTTATATAAAAAATATATTTTAATTATCATTATATACCTTTGTGTGGAATCTCTTGATTCCTTTCAATCGTTCTAATTTGATCTAGTGTTCTAATCTGGGGAGATAATCCACCATGTACACAAAGAACCTGTTCATCAATTAACTGTAACAAAACATTTCATTTAAGCAATGTATAGAAAAATTGTAAAACTTGAAGAAAAAATCTTTTGTAAAAATACTTACGGCAGCAACTGTGAGCAAATCAAATACCCTACAACAGTACTTCCATGCATTAGCATTACCATACTTGTTTTGGCATTCATCTATAACAGATAATAAAAGGAGCAATAAAATCAGAGAGTTCTCGGTATACAATAAGCCTAAAATAATTAAAAAAGAACTGAGCTACGCTCACCATAAAATCCATAAACGTGCGTGATTTGTCTAGATTCGTGATTACCACGAAGTAATGTTATCCTATCGGACCATTTAGCTTTGAGTGTAAGCAGCCGAGTAAACGTTTCTAAACTGTAGTAGCCCCGATCGACAAAGTCTCCCAGAAATATGTAATTCGTATCTGGTACAGGGCCTCCGTTGCGAAACAGTTCCTCTAAATCGTAAAACTGCAACAACGCAAAAGCATATGAGATACAATTAAAAGATGTGACCGCACATAAATGTGCAGAATTATAAAATCGAGAAAATTGAAAGAGAAATAAGGGAATAACTGGATACAAAAATTACAAGAGACAATTCTACGAATTATACAATAAACTAATAATGCATTTTTTTCTTTTTTTTTTAGACTCGGTTGAAAGTGAGTGCTTCCAGTCGACACTGACTATCTCGCACACGTATAACAACGGATGCTGGTTTACTATGACTAACTGGTGATTAACTCCAATCTTAAGGTTAGAGCATCAGAACCGTCATTACCTGACCGTGGATGTCTCCGCATACTGTCACCGGGGTGGACACAGGCTGGATGTTGGACTCCTCCAGCAACAGGTCGCATACCATGTCACAGAGTTTCTGTCGACAAAAATCGCAAGAATTAATTAAACGTGATCGTCACGTCAAACGGGGGAAGGGAAAGGCAAGAGGATATAAACGCGCAGGCGAGTAACCTAATCGCGCGTTATTATCACCGTTAAATCGCACGGGGGAGGCGGATCGAAGGCGGCCGGGGCGCGTTGCATTTTTTACCTTGAGGTCATACTCGGGCAGGTATTTGCACTCTTTCGCGATCTCTATCCATTTATCGATGTCTGACATTTTGGATTCACACTGTAAGAAAATACTGATCGCGCCCCCATAGAGTTATATACATGTACGTATCGTTCGTACGCGCCCAACGTCGCTGGAACTCGCACAAGGAGATGATGGAGCGCTCGCGACGGTTAAAATATCGAGCGGACACGCATTGAAACTCTCGCCGCGTCAGGAAAACGCGCCCGGAGGTTCGTTCCTCTTTAGGGCGCTCTCTTGTGACGTATTTATTGATATTCTATTTTTATTCGTATGCAATTTATTTATGTATTTATTTATATACATATTTTCTTGTGCACTTTTGATATATTTTTATTATTATATTTGTTTATTTTATATATCTTTTATTTTATATTTTTATAGAGAATTTTTGAAAAAAAGATAATCGATATATAGATATATATTTGCACACATATTTATGTATATGACATTATATTTATTAATTTAAAATTATCAAGAAACTGACATAGTGTGTTAATTAATTATAATATATATATACAATATTAGTAAAAATATTTTTGTGAAAAACATTTAAATTACGCAATTATTATTAAAAGTCAAATGCATAAGTTTCAAAGGAAATTATTTTTTTAATTAAGTAATTGTGCATTATTATTATTTTACTTTATCTAAATAAATTAATATATAGGTATACATGCATGAAAAGTATGTCGTTACTTATTCTTGTGTAAACATATTTGGGCTGGGATTCTGTAACCTCTTAACAACGAATTCGCTATCGTTAACGATCGTTGAGCATCTTTTTGATCTGATATTATATGAAAGATATATGTGCAAGATTATCGTTAACGATAGCGAACTCGTCATTAAGAGCAGGATATTGATTCTGTAACTTTTTCTAAAGTGAAAACGTGAAAAGTGAAAAATTTCCAACAATCGCATATCGATTTCATTTTAAAATCAATTTGTGATTAGCGGAAATTTTTCACATTTTTACTTTAGAAAAAATTACAGATAATCGACACCCAGGTTACAGAATCCTAGTCTTGAATTGGACGTGTATTATTATATATATATATTATTATTCTGAAATTAATATTGGTAATTTAGTAATTTTATAATGAATATAGTTTGATAGCTGCTTATTGATTTATTTAAGCTAAAATAGGAAGTTGATAAAATGCATTACATAATTTATTGTTAATTCTTTTGAATCTGAATATAATGATCCGACCAATACAGTGTTAGAAACAATTAAACTTCTACGACAAGAAAAAGATACATGTATACATACATATAAGAAGAAAGTACAATATACACGACTATATTAACAGACTTAGGCCGGTATTCATAGTCAGGTCTTATTTATATAAGATCGTCTTAAGTTCATCTTCAAATGCTGTACGAATTATTTCATTGGTTACGGAGTATTTGAAGATAAACTTAAGATGGTCTTAAATATAAGACCCGACTATATGAATACCGACCTTAATATATACTCAATCGCAAATCAATCAATATCCTTTCGAAGACGATTCCACTTTCTATCATTTCGCCTCGTAGGAAAAAAGCAAGAATAAAATGGTAAGAAGAGAAAACGACCTGATTTTCACTTTCGTCACGCTAGGAATTCCGTTCAGTGATTTTGAAAATCTCGCGCGCTCGTCGACATCAAGTCTGTTCGGTTTACGTGCGTAAAAATTCATACAGCTTTGAGAAAAAAATCTACTGAAAAATCCATCGAACATCAGGTATCAAAAGAAAAAAAAGAAGAAGAAGAGAAGGGAAGAAAAAAGATTAAAGAAGCCATACATTAATAAACAATAGGCAAAAAATCGATCGCACGCTACAAAAGTATAATATGAAGCCAGCTGATATCGCGGCGCATATCGATTATTGCCTCGTCGGAAACGAGTGTCACTCGTCGAATTTCCGTCACGCGCGTGGAACATAATACATATATCTATACATATATACGAAGGGAGTAAAAAGGTCACAGAGCGTCGACGGAGATGATATGGATTTTATCTCGTGGCCGCCAAAGTGGGTCACGACAGCGACGACTTGTGCGCACGCTTCGATTATCGATTGCATCTCTCTCTCTTTCTCTACTTCTCTCTCTCTCTCTCTCTCTCTCTCGGTAGACGCCGCAAGTCAGTCGTCGTCGCGTTCGATCTCATTTACGCCCGCTCGCGAGCTTGAAATTGTCCTCCGCGGCCGTGTAATAAGTCGTCGCGCCGCGCGAAACGTCAAACGTCAAACGTCAAAATCGCGCGCGCTCTCGCGCCGCCGCGCCTCGCGGTGAAGATGCGGTGAAGTGAGCGAGGCGAGCGAGCAAGCGTGCGCGAGTCGAGTCTTTGCTTCACGGAAATCGGCCATCTTGCTTAGTACACGGTTAGACCTCGTAACGGACGGCCACTCGCCTCCGTCAGCCACCCTCCTCAGGGCGGTCGTACGTGCGCGGGCGGTGGCGGAGAACGAGAAGAAGGATCTTTCGCAGCCAGCGGTGACAGCTCCTAGATGTTAGTGCGGAATCTCGCATAGAAGAGAGAGAGAAAGAAAAGCGCCCCCTTCGTGTGTATGTGTCGGGGCGCCCTAGCGTGCGTGTAAAAATTCTCCCGTTCGGTGTCAACGACGATACAACGCGACGACAGGATGGCGGGCAACACGGGTATGGAACAATTGATCCCGATTGTCAACAAGCTCCAGGATGCCTTCACCCAGCTCGGCGTGCATATGCAGCTCGATCTGCCGCAGATCGCCGTGGTGGGCGGCCAGAGCGCGGGCAAGAGCTCTGTACTCGAGAACTTCGTCGGCAAGTGAGTATCCCAGCCTCCCCCAGGTGTTTTTTCCTCCCTTCGTAGCCTCGATTGGGGACTTTGGAGGTCGAACTCACGACGAGAATAAACGTGCGCATGAAATCGATAAAAGAGATCGGAGCACCATCTCTCTATTTCTCTTTCTCTCTCTTACTCTCACTCTCTCGAGACTTATCTCTTCATCTGGAGTAGATAAAAACGCGGTCGAACGCGATCGATGAACGTAGCTTATGTATTTTTGCTTGGAATTTTAAGAATGTAAAAAAAAAAAAAAAAAGACGAAGGTACAGACGTCTTTGTCGATACGTACGTGAGTCCTAGGCGTGGCGAAACACGCGGGAGTCTTCGTCGTCCTCGTCGTTCGATTAATATTTAAGTTTGACGAAGACGATGACGACGAGGAGAAAAAAGGGAGAGTACCGTTTGACAGTTCTTATCTCATGCGTCATTCTCTTCGTACGAGGCATGGACGAGCGCGATCGGGGCTAGTTGCGAATTTACGACGTCAGAACGCCCACAGGACGACCTGTCAAATGTCTTCCCGTCACTGGGGCACTTTACTAGAGCGTCCGTTCATGCGCAAAACCGGCGAGACGGTTTTACATTCTTATAGATTCGTCATTTTCGCTCTACATTCTAACGTCCCGATGAAGAATTCGCAATCACAGACATGAAATGTTAATTTTACGACGAAACAGTTTTAGTAGAAACTGAATTAACCGATTAAAATAAACGTTGAAGTAGAATTAAGTCATTTAAATTTTATCTAGTAAAATTATTTTAATTTTATTCGATTTTTATATCTACATTTAATATTTCTGGTATTTGCCACAAAAGTCTCAAACATCTCTATATAAAAATTATAATAATGATTATTTTTGTAATGATTCTTGAGGTACTTTTATGATGCAAAATTAATTTGCTTTAACATTCTCATATGCATCCTGATATGCATTTGTCGATACCAGTTTGTATCAAAAAATTGAAGAAGGAAGGAATCTATTACAAATAATTTTGGAGCTAAGACAGATGAGACAAATATTTTCATCAGAGAAAATGAAATAAATTATTATCATCCATACTTTAGCCTTATATATATCATTGTACACTTTAAAATAATTAATTGCGACCAATTCATTGTTGTTTTTGATCAGTATTGAAATACATATATATTTACTTGTAAAAAATGTGGATGCTAATTATGACCAATTATAACAATAAAACTTCTCTCCCAGGGACTTCTTGCCTAGAGGTTCCGGCATTGTGACAAGGAGACCACTTATCTTACAGTTGATTAACTGTTCAACTGGTGAGTCGTAATAAATAAGACTGATTATGTCATTTCTCTCGTATTCCATGATAAATACAAAACTTATGTTACATATGTATGACATAGTATCTGATGATATCTTGATTACTTTTAAGAATATATCAAGAAAGAATTTAAGAAATATAGTGTCTTTATGAGTTCATAATATCATCTTGTTAACCTATTGACTCATATACTTGTGAGAAATATTTTTCTTTTAAGCAAGATGATGCCTAATACATTTATACTCCATTATTATGTGCCATTTTCTGAATTTTTGAAAATTTTTAATGCACCATATATGAGATATTTATTATATTTTATAGATAAATCCATAAAAAATTATTGATTTTGTTATTCTGTTGCGGAGAAAGTAGAATTAATAAAAGTTACTCTATCTATATCTCTCTTGAACTTTGTCATTTAATTATCATACTTTCTTTATCATACTTCCTGTGCCTAAAATTATGATAAGTCTTAAATTGAATATGACTCCAAACAAAATGTAGCAAATATATACATGTGTTAAAGAATACAAAATGTTATAATGTATAATATTCTCAACATTTTAATATTATTCTTATCTTTAAATATTATTCTTTTTGTATATAATAAGAATAAATAATTTAACAATTAAACTAATAAATTTTTTTTATATTGTAGAATATGCAGAGTTTTTTGCATTGCAAAGGCAAGAAATTTGTAGATTTTGAGGAAGTGCGAAAAGAAATTGAAGCTGAAACAGACAGAGTGACTGGCAGTAATAAGGGCATCTCTAATATACCAATTAATCTTAGAGTATATTCACCCAATGGTAAGTACAACAAAGATGTTACTTTAAATAAAAAACAATAATCGTTAAGAAATATTATTTATAATATATGGCAAATTTTTACCTTTTTACAGTCTTGAATTTGACATTAATTGATTTACCTGGACTTACAAAAGTACCGATTGGAGATCAGCCGGCAGATATAGAGGCCCAAATTAAAGGCATGATATTTCAGTTTATCAAACGTGACTCTTGTCTAATATTGGCAGTAACACCAGCCAACACTGATTTGGCTAATAGCGATGCTCTTAAACTCGCTAAGGAAGTGGATTTGCAAGGTATTTAATTCATAACAGTGTTACTATTAAAATTTCTTTGAATTGAATATTAATTTAATGTATAATATTCTAAGGTGTACGTACAATTGGTGTCATTACTAAGTTGGATCTCATGGACGATGGCACTGATGCAAGAGATATTTTGGAAAATAAATTATTACCATTAAGAAGGGGTTACATTGGTGTAGTCAATAGAAGTCAAAAGGATATAGAAGGTCGAAAGGATATAAAAAATGCTTTAGCTGCTGAGCGAAAGTTCTTCCTCAGGTACACGAATAGCTGTGAAGATGATTTCTAGGAATAATTGTTCTTTTTTTTTTTCTTGACAATACATAACTTGTTTTATTTTTTAGTCATCCGTCTTATCGTCATCTAGCAGATAGGCTGGGTACACCATATTTGCAGAGAGTTCTAAATCAGCAGTTAACAAATCATATCAGGGACACCTTGCCAGCTCTAAGAGATAGATTACAAAAGCAACTGTTAACTTTAGAGAAGGATGTCGAGCAGTATAAACATTTCAGACCTGATGATCCTGCGATCAAAACGAAGGCTATGTTACAGTGAGTGAATTTAGAATTTTACAGTGTGCTGGTTTACAATTATTCAACACTCGTCTTCCATTCATAAAATATGTGTTGCAAAAATCACAGATGCACATCTTATGTATAAGAATTTATATCACTTATATATCTACATATTCACATAAGATTAAAATTCTTTTAATGAATGTGCACATTATATTTCTATTCATTTTTTTCTTATTTCCTATATTTTTTATATTTTGTGGGTGGAGTGTCTTGAAGTTTTAGATCATTTGCCTTTTGTTTTTCAGATCAATTCAAATGTATATGTAGGTATCCTTGTTTCCTCTTTTAGTTTCCTTTAACAAGAATAGTGTGCCACACATTTTGCATGAAACTTTAGTTAATTAAAGAACTGTGATTGTTATGCTTAGTTTAAAAATGAAGAGATAATTTTGCATAAAATTATTTTGCTACAGGAAGATTAACAAATAAAATTTCTAACGTGTACCTTTTTTTTAACATGTGAGATGTGTATCTTTTTTGAAAATATATTTAGACGACTTTACTATTAAATTTGCAGATTGTTACATAGAATAACAAATATTTCAAACATGTTTTGTGAATGGTAGATAACATCGAGACTCTCTACCCATGTAATTAATATTATTTTATGACAACTTACATTACACAAATTAATAGTAAAATATATTTAAGGATGATACAGCAACTTCAATCAGATTTTGAGAGAACTATAGAAGGCTCAGGCTCTGCACAAATTAATACTATGGAACTCAGTGGCGGCGCGAAAATTAATAGACTTTTCCACGAGCGTTTCCCGTTCGAAATTGTTAAAATGGAATTTGATGAGAAAGAATTAAGGAGAGAAATTGCATTTGCCATCAGAAATATACATGGTGAGTTTTTTTAGCTGTGTTTAAAATTTCGTGCAAAGTTTTACAAATATGAAATTACTAACAAAATTTTAATTATAGGTATCAGGGTAGGATTATTCACCCCAGACATGGCTTTTGAGGCAATAGTCAAAAAGCAAATAAATAGACTTAAAGAACCAAGTCTCAAATGTGTAGACTTGGTTGTGCAAGAACTTAGTAACGTCGTACGCATTTGTACAGATAGGGTAAGTCAAAACAGTAATAAAATGAATAAAGATGAATAAAAGATGAAGTAATAATATTATAGCATTAAATTCAAATGGAGAAACATGAGTGAATCATCAATACAGTTTTTATATGTTGTGGTTTTTGTAATATTACAGATGTCGCGTTATCCTAGACTAAGGGAAGAGACAGAACGTATCATAACAACGTACGTAAGGCAGCGCGAACAAATGTGTAAAGAGCAGTTGGTTTTGTTGGTTGATTGCGAGCTCGCATACATGAACACTAATCACGAAGATTTCATCGGTTTTGCGAAGTAAGTAATCATTAAACATTTCAATGTTTCTTTTATGTGTTATATCTTATAGATTTAACTATTATTTTCAGAGATATAGTCAGAAACTTTCAGTTTATTTCATTTGGTACATCTAGTTCCTACATGTCATTTTTGTTACACTTATGTGTGCTTGCTGCTATCTTTTTTTATTTTATATTAAGTTTAATATAGCCACTAAATAGCAACAGATTTTATGTATAATGTTGTTATAGTATTTAGGCGAACTTGTGTATGTTTTAAAAGACTGCTTTAGTTGAAAAGATATTAGCAATATATGAATTCACGTGTATTGCATATTCTAAAGTTTTACAAAGAATTTTCAATATTCTGCATATCTTATATAACGTATTTTTCTCTATATCTCATTTTATATAATAGATACTTATATCCTTTCTTAGAAGATACGTTTATTTTTTTATAAAGTTTGACAATGCATTTGAAAATCCTATATATTGAAGTCATTCAATTAAATTGTACAGTAAAAATTTGTGATAAAAATTTTAAAATGTATACATTAAAGTAGTTTTAGATTCAAGGCATTAAATCTAATACAGAGCATGCTTAATGCTTATTAAAGAGTATAGATAATTATAAAGATAATTTTGTTTGTAAGAATCTAAAAAAAAAAAAAAAAAAAAAAAAAAAAAAAAAAAAAAAAAAAAGAGAACACAAGACTTTAACATTGCAAAATAGGATAGAAAGGCGTACTACACGTGATTATCAAATTGTTTGCTTGCCATTATTTCTTTATTCAAAATATCAGCGCATACTTTCACAGTCAGTGCATGTCTTGCTAAAATCAACTCACATAGCAATCTTTGATCACATCAACATTCTTAACTCATCCTCTTTTTAAGACTAAAGGTCACTCTAGAATTTGAACAATAATTTACTAGTGTTATTTTTATTCAATTTACACTCTTATGACACTATGCTAAAATCATACATAAGTATGTGCTAAGCTAATCTCTTCTCCATACATTTGTTTTTGTAATATATTTAATTAATTTCTGTTACTTTTCTGTGACTAACACAAAGTGATCCGTTTTATTTATCCTGCTTTCAGAAAACTAAAAACTTTAATAGAGTATTATTACTTTTAATGTTACATCTAAATATCTTGAATAGAATTAAAGTTATTTGAAATTCACATAAAACAGTTGATTATTAAACTAAAAAATGCTAATAATTTATTAAAGAAGTAATTTCTCTCACACATTATCAAGAATAAGGAATTGCATTTGCACACATTACATTCTTCTTAGCTCAATTGGTTTTTATTGTTGTGGCTATATAGCAGTATTTTTCTCTATATATTTAATTCTGTCTGATTTTTATTTTTTATTTGAAAATAATATCTCTGGAAAAGATAATATGGTAATAAATAATTATTGAATATTTTATATATAAATTATTGGATATTTATATATAACGTGTACAGCTTATATTAATTATATAAATATAAATATAATAGAGATAAATAGGCTTTTTTTATATATAGAATCGATAATGATGTTGCTGAAGATTATAAATGTCATTGTAAATTTTCTCAGTTTTATTTATAATGTCATTGAGGGGTCAAGGCACATACAAATTCTATGCAGAAATATAGCTTTTCAATTCTTATTTTCTCATATATAATCTTACGAACAATTTAATACAAAAATTATAATTAAATGTGACTAAACTATGTGACATATAATCTGTATATTTACAATCTGAAAACTTATTTATGAGATTATGTGTGCCTTACCCTGGTCAAAGTAATATGGCCATATATTTTTCTTTTCTCATTATTAACTCTCTTCTTCGAATTTCACAATTAAAAAAATGATTTAATTATATCGGCAGCGCTGCAGCCAGTAGCCATAATGCAAGGTAAGAATATTATAGTACATTCCAACAAAGATTTACACTACATTTTTATTCCTTTTCATTTTCACGCTCTTTCTTTCTTATGCTTATTCTTTTTTAATATCTCGTTGCTTCCACGTTAAGTTCAAATATAACGTACAAGCCAAATTTTAGTGGTTTTTAGCTTGATATTGTGTTTCTAATTTATTTAAAAAATTTAAATATATTTTTTTCTATTCATATTTTTATAATTTTTATAATTTTTGTGATTTTAATTTTGAGGTGCCGTAGTTAATTAGCATTTAAAATTTAAAAAATTATGTAAATTGCTATATAACACAAAACTAATCTTTAATTGACTTCTTTTGAAGTTTTTAAAATGTTTTTACACAATTTTTTTTTTTAATACTTTGAATACTTTTTAGATTTACGTTTTTACGAAAATCTCGACGCAGATACAAAAAAATTCTTATTTTACAATTTATTAAATTCAACATATATTATTGCAAATTTTGCATATTAGTACTATGAAATGTCATTGTGTATTGATTTAAATCCTGTTTCTTAATTTTCAATTGAATTTATTATGTGGATTTTTTTTCTATTCCAAATTGTAACTGCTCAATTTTTAATAAAGAAAATTAGGATTTTTAAAAAACAAATAATTTTCAAGTCACATCTGTATGTCATCCACGAAACTGTATTTCATACTGCAACATCAAGCTTGAGTTTTATCATGTTACAATCTATTGTTTTGCTATGGATGTAATATGCGCTTAATTATATGCAATTCTCTTGCACCAGTATTAGAATTTATTGCAATGTTGCTTAAATGATATTGCATGTTTTTGTGATATGCTAATGTTATTTATGCAATTATACAATTAATATGTGCTTAGAAATTTTTTAAAGCTATGTATATGTGGCATAAAATGTGCATGAAACAAATATGGCAAAACAAGTACACGATGGTTCTATGATATGTTTTATATTAAAAGCCTAAGGTAAATATTTTTTTCAGATTTTTTTTCTCGAAATAGTTGTATAAAAGTACATCAGTTTTTGTAGATAAAGGCACAAAATACTGCCCATTTTTATTTTGTACATTATTGTTTCTTTATTTTGTAAAATAAGAATAATTATCGAATTTAATAGTACATATATATACAAGCGAAAGTTTGTGTAATACATATATAAGCTATTTTATAATAAGCAAACATTATTTTCTTTTTGCGACATAATATGCGATATATATTTATTTGAAACATGGATGCTAGGATACTTATTCGCTGTTTTCTTTTATTTATTACATATAACCGACTAATGTAAGATTTGATAGCAACAATTCTTGCAGTTGGATATATAAAATCTCCTATCTGGCATTTCATTATACACTATTATTTATGTTACAGTGCACAGCAATCCTCGGAAAATTCTGTTAAATCCGGACGGCACACATTAGGCAACCAAGTAATTCGCAAAGGTTACATGTGCATACATAATCTCGGTATTATGAAGGGCGGTTCGAGAGATTACTGGTTCGTTTTAACATCGGAGAGTATCTCCTGGTTCAAGGATGAAGAAGTAAATATCGATTATTTCTATAATTAGACAATACAAAAATTGTACATAATATCGTATACTATAGAAAAGAGCATTTTATTGATATAAATGATATCTAACTCGTGATATTTTTATGCATAAAGGAACGTGAAAAGAAGTACATGTTGCCTTTGGATGGACTGAAACTGCGTGATCTGGAACAAGGTTTCATGTCGCGACGTCACTTATTTGCGTTATTCAATCCGGAGGGAAGAAATGTGTATAAGGATTACAAGCAACTGGAGTTGAGTTGCGAAACTCAAGATGATGTTGATTCTTGGAAGGCTTCTTTCCTGAGGGCTGGTGTGTATCCCGAGAAATCAACAGAGCAAGCAAATGGCGAAGGAGAGGTGAGTTTATTACTGGTCAGAATAGGATTATATAATTATATATACGTCCTTTCTAAAAGACGATTTATATTAGTCTTATATTATTCTCTTTTTTTATTAAAGAGAAAATATAAAGATAGAGATATTTATCCGAATCTTATGTATACATTTTAATATAGTTTTAATGTGACCAGAACAATCTAGTTTGTATTACATGTGTGATGATAATTTATTATATTATTTATTCGAATTCAATTTATTTTAATTTATTTTAGGATAGGCAGAGGGTGAGTTGATAAAAGAAATGTAGACAAATTTTGTTTTCGAATTATTAACTGTGTGGTGATCTGAATTATATTATTGAAAACAACTAACAAAAAAGATATAATTGCTTTGGGAAAATAATTTTGATCTTTCCTTGAATTTCTTAAAATTTTATATGCAATATATATATGCCATACCATATGTACTTTATTTTATAATATTTTATATACGAATATTATATGTATTTTATATATTGAATACAATTTTTCTCATTGCTTCCTGAGCATTGTTAATCATATTTGAAACTTTGTGTAAGGAAGGGGAGTATTTCAATTTATATATCTATCTAATCTTTTTCAAGATAAAATACTAATAACTTTTTTTGATACTGAGTGCATAATAGTAATCGTTTTCTTTTTGTCTCATATTTGAATCAACTAAAAAGGAAGGATATGAGGTTCGTACAATCGTGTTTTCAAGAATTATATAGCACATGACACTTACATGAGCATCGGACACCTCTTCAATCAAGCACATTATTGCAGAAAATACTAACAACATTACAAAACAAAACATGTTTTGCATTTTAATAATATTTTTAGATCGGTCAGTATTATTTATTTTAGTGTAATGTTTTGCAGTACTGCGAGTGCTGTCTTGTATATATGCCTTTAATCGTTGGATATTTGGCAATGAAAGCAACTTAATCGTAATAAGGGTGTAAACAATCTTATTTTTGTTTATTCAGGGTGGACAAGAGAGTCAATCATCAATGGATCCTCAATTGGAGCGTCAAGTGGAAACTATCAGGAATTTAGTAGATTCTTACATGAAGATTGTTACGAAAACTACTCGTGATCTGGTTCCAAAGACAATTATGCACCTTATTATTAACAACGCTAAGGACTTCATTAATGGGGAATTGTTGGCACATCTTTATGCGAGTGGTGATCAGGTAAAATATTAATACAGTACATATTCAGCTTATACTATTATTTTGTAGAATAGTTCTTTTGTTTTAAAAATTTTACAGATTAATCCTTTCTCCATTAATCCTTTCCCTTAGTCAATTAAAGATGGAGTAAATAATCTGAAGATATTCATTGATCCTGTAATCATAAGAGTCCTTATATCCTTTTCATATTCCTCTCCTTTATATTTTAACCCTTAGAAAACGCGTTCATGTTTTACATATTTCAAACAAGTATACACATAGTGTACAGTCTCATATATATATATATATATTTCTTTTATTTTTTGTGTGTGATTCTTTTATTTTTATTATATTTTTATATATCTAAGAGGAACACTTCTGATTTATATGCAATTACAGGCTTCCATGATGGAAGAATCCCCCGAAGAAGCGCAAAAACGGGAAGAAATGTTACGCATGTATCATGCATGCAAAGAGGCTCTTCGTATCATCGGAGACGTCTCCATGGCTACTGTTTCAACTCCAGTACCACCACCTGTAAAGAATGATTGGCTGGCATCCGGGGAAAATCCAAGGTAACCTTTATGTTATTCCTAGCACTGTTTCGCGCATTTTACTAATTTTTTATCCTTATATTTTGTACCGTCTGCTTTGCCATACATTTGAACACCGTTGAAACAGTCTTGGGTAAGATCCTTTACATATGTGATATATTTATCTTTATTTTTTTTCTTAACTTATAATATCGTCAAGAAGAATATCACATAATTATGCATGCTTTTCTTATTAAATATTAAGCTAGAAAAGGTTATGAAATGTCACTAGACTTTAATTAGTTTTTATTAATATTTTAATTTAATATATTTTTTAATTGTTTTTTGTATCTTAGTGATATCAAAATATTATATAGATTCTATGTTACATACACTAATCAGGTTTTAAGATAATCTTTTTTGATATTTTTTTGAAACTTTGTTTTTGTTTAATTAACATTTTTTTAAAAAAAGAATTTAAGACTCCTGACTTTTTGCCGACCATGTCGGAATTGTGACGTCAGAGGCGAGAAAACACACGCTAAAAATTCTTAGATGCCATTTTTAAATGAAAGATATTTCAATGAAGCTATTTTAAATGAGAAAAGTGTGCTAAAGCTATTTAAAATAATCTTATCGAAATATCTTTTTATTTAAAAATGAGCTTGCCTCTGACGTCATAATCTAACATGACCGCGAGGATGCAGGAGTCTTAAAACATCTAAATAATATAAAAGCTAATATAAAACGTATTATTCTAGATTATCGCCACCATCTCCTGGTGGTCCAAGACGCGGAGTGACACAGCCACCACCTCTTTCTAGCTCACGAGCACCACCACCAGTACCTGCAGGCGGTCGGCCAGCACCAGCCATTCCTAATAGACCTGGTGGCCCGGGTGGACCACCACCAACACGAGCTAACCCTGGCCTACCTCCACCTATGATACCATCGTGAGTACTCGTTATATAATTCATATGAAAAAACTAATTAAAAATTTAAAATTCTTCACCTATTAATATTGCCCAAATGACCTTGATGAAATCTTATATCGCGATTTTTATTATCTTATCGATCGCAATTCTAATGCTAAGCTATGCGCACATCGAAATTTCAACATACGCACAATATAATATCGTTTGCTGTGGTTTTGTGTTCAAATTTATAACTGCAATATATAATGCGACGAGAAAATAATATCATTTTTTTTCCACAATCGTGACAATCGATATACAATTTGCTTTCTCGAACATTTCTTGCCCGTCTTTATTAAAACAGTAGCTTGTGTGTTTGGGGCTTGGGTGCTAACTTCACTTTCTATTGCAGGCGCCGACAATAAGTCTTCGCACTAACTCGCCTATTCGCTACTAATCAATACCGTATCCGTATTGCATTACATAGTCAGTGTATATTTTACACAAGACACTTATTTCCTAATGTTACTGTCTGTCTGCATACACTACAGAGATTATAAGGTTGATGTTAATTAAGTAGGGGTGTGAAAGTATTATTCCAATCGTACAAGTTCCACGTCTTTTACGTTTTTGGAATTTAATTGAGCTTCCAAGTGCCGAACAATTTCTCTACTACGTTTCTCTCACCTGTGTTTCATATATATATATATATATATATATATCTGACACAATGAGATATTTTTATTCAGTCGTAGTAGTTGAGTAATATATTAAGAATAATAAAAAAAGATATATGTAAATTAACTTTCTTTGTTTTTATTCCTTACAATATTGTGTCTTTATTATTTTATACTCACATTTCGTGTAAACAGTGTAATAATTTAATGTATAATTCATGTATATATATATATTATTCTATATATACATATATACTATTTCGCGCGGAAATCAACACACACCCCTAATTGTAGTTATATTTTAGCGCCAATAGTACGTGAAACTTGTGCAATACTAAATATTTCCAAAGGTACAATTTTCTTGTTCGTAGAAAATGGAGATATAATATATATAGTCGAGTCACACATATTTAATTGTAAATTACTTCAATGAAGCTGTATATCATACATGTATATATCGTTGAAAATATTATCAAATAAAGGACTTTGTGTTCTTACGGCAGATAGATAACCGTTTATTTTACTTATACTAACAGCATGACATTTCGATAAAATAATGCAATTGAATATAAAAAAAAGAATGTCGGTTGCGATTTTTGAAATCTAAATTAACTGTCTACCAATTGTCGCATTTATCCCATTGATACATATATCTTTCGTGTAATATATTAAAGGTTACTATATATATCCTATTTAATACAAGTTCAAAGCTTCTCAATCGCATAATAGCACTTTTTACTTCATATACGTCCTTTGTCACTTAAATGTTTTATATGGAGCATAACACCAATTTGAAACTTGTCAATTACTATTTATGGACGAATATGTCGGTGCCTGCATTACAATTTATCAAAAGAAAAGGAAAAAAATAGTGGCATATATATATAATTGTAAACGTATTTATATAAACGGGAGCTAAGGCAAATTTTAGTCTGACAGAAAGCTGTTTTTGAATATCGTGTTGCTATTATAAAACGTTTTTATAACTACTGTTACAAAACTACATATATATATATATATATTCCCCTTTCCCATTGGTGTTACTTTATCTCGCATTTAAAAAGGTATTATTATGCACCTTTCCTGTGTAGGGAACACGCATTATGAGTTAATATTTTTAGCAGTATAATGTTGTATGAAATTAAAACCAAAAACTATGTAAGAGTGAGAGCCATAGTCAAAGCTGGGTATCCGTGGTGTGTTTAGTCGAGGGGGTGGTCTACAGCAGAGGATGACGCAAGCTGCGACACAGGCTGCGACGCAGGCCGCCATGCACGAGCTGATGGATGCGTTCAAGATCAAGTAAATAGATATCCACCAATTGAATTGCGAGTTGTATCCCTCTAACGATATTATATATATATATATATATATATATATATATATATATATATATATATATATATATACAATATATATATGAGTATTCATTTAAATTGTGTGCGCAGTAGATGGTAGACTATTCAGGGTTGAGAATGAACTAATTCCAATGTTTCCTCTATACTACTTTAAATAGATCTTTATTAACGAAACTTTGCAGAAAATTTAATTTACTAATTTGATCCCTTTTCGTCTCCTACGTCTTTCGGTTCTTCTTGCATGATACTTCATGAATTCCATTAACGGTTATGTCTTTGGTATTATTAAATTTGTACACACATGTGTGTACAAATATTTATTTATATGCATACTTGTATAGGAAATAATCCTATAATCTGTATATTATAGTACAAAATATATATCTGTATTATAGGAAACGAATATATATTTAAGCACTCTATACTCCTATCTAGCAATATTCTATATTACCTTGAATGTTCTTAGAAGATTTAATTATGGTAATTTCCAAAGTCACTAATCGAGCAATAAAAATACGTTTAACGCTTCAAAACTGGAATCAAAGTGTAATGTTCAAAGAAACGCTACGAATTAAAATATATACATATATATATATATATATATATATATGTAAAAAAAATTGGCCCCTATAATGTAGACATTAGTACAATTAACCCCATTTCATTGTTATTTTCACACCATATAAAAAGTGTGGAAACTTGCACGTAGTCTCGTTAGTGAATCTAGAGCAGAATATATTATCAATTTTCTTCTAAAACTAAAACAATGTATTTGCATCCAGTGAATCTATCCTGGAAAGTCTACCAGAACCCGATAATGTGATCGATAGTAGATCTTCGCATTGATTGTAAAGAACATTTCCATCGTTGAAGAGCGAGTCCGATATAAATATTGTGGTATGATTACGTCTGAATTGCATCTCTGATATATTTAAATTATGAGTATTGAGGGAAATGTCGAACATGTGTCGTCGGCGAGATAATAAGATAAATGAGAAAATGTCATGCTGTTGGGAAAGTAGCTAAAGCTTACGCGCGAATATATATCCAGCTTGCTTTTTTTAAAGCTTTTTTTAACGACAAAAGTATTGTACTACACATAATATCGCGTAAAGAGTCTCTCTATTTCTCTTTACTTCCTATAAACGTTTGTTACTTTTTTTTAATAGCCATTAAAAAATATATATATATATGCGCCATATATAAGAAAATTATATAAGAGGAAAGAAAAATATTACGTAATTCTTAATGATATATAAACAAGGAAAAAAATATGCTCAGACATAGGATGTGATATAGCGTAGAATGCTTCGAGGATTTTGCATGAAAATCCGGAGTTACGAAATTCTCTCTATCTCCCCTGTTTCACCTTTCCATTCTTTTTTCCATCCCTTCTCTCTTTCTCAATAGTTTAAACTAATGATAACCGCACTTATCGAAAATAATAATAATCATAATATCACATACAGTGTGTATAATGAATATACATCACATTCAGTAGGCACATTCAGGAGCGACGTTATATATTTTGTGTAATTTATAGTTATTTCCTCCCCCTGATTATGCTTGCGATTCAACTATGTATGTATATAAGATAAATTTTTGTTAAATAGAAATACTTTTTGGCGTATTCGCAAAGCAACGACGTGCTTCAAAGTTTGTATAGTGCGCATAATTCTTGTACGAAATTTTTACGTGCGAAAAAAAAGATAGTAAATAATACGACACGCAGCTTATATATTAAAATTTGCAATGTGTTATTTGGAAATTTTTGTCAAGTTTGAGATTGTACTATACATAAGGGTGATATCTGCTCTCATTTCAAGTATGTTTGCGCAATGATTCGGAAGAGACTCAAGGGCGATAATCGAAGTGCAATTAATAAGAAAAGAAGATATTTTTTGTTACAATAATATATAGAACGTCTCCTTGGATAGATAATAAATTTAGAAGAACAATGTTGGCAGAAGACTCGTATTTTTCGTGTCATTGCGCTGTTCGTATTCTAACTGATAGTCACAGAATCTAATAACTCGGAGGCAGAGAAATAATCCATAACGCTAGCCACAGATGATATACTATTGTAATGTATAAGACTTATATTCTCCATTCAAAATTGTGTCAATCAAGAAGGCCTAATAATATTCCTTGCAGATGACTTGCATCTATTTCAAATTTATTTTAACTCGTGGCAAAATGTAAATTTTTTAATTATATGCATTTTTAGAGATCGTCTTCCTATTAACTTAGTTCAAAAGTTTATCGCTCTTTCTTCGAAGCACGTCGGATAAATCACATCTTGTTTTATATACTGTGGACAAGGATATTATTGTCACTAGCTCATGGCTTAGATGATTAATAATAAAGTCCCGAGAGACTAATCAATATCACGTGTTGCATTTGACGCAGAAAGAATAAAGAGATATTGAAGGGAAAATTTTCCGCGTGCAGCCAACAAACAAATGGTATGCTATTGTAATGTTATTGTACAGTATAACTTGTATACAGAGAGACGTGAGCGTGTATACTGATCTTTTGAAGCAATGTGAAAATTTATCTAATCCCTAATCAAGGAGCATTAGAGGATAATTAACCTTTGATGGTTATGAAAATATTATTAAAAATCACCGCTATATTATACTATAAGATATACATATATATCCGTAGATTTGTTCAGCGATGCATCGTGTTTCCGGTACTCGGTAGATTTGTGAGAGATTTCGTTTTAATTATTACAAGTAACAGTAGTAATTTTTGCGTTAGTGAGTTGTTAAGACATAAGACAATGAGAAACAAGAACAAATAGGAGCCTTTTTACAAGCTTTTCGATCAGGCATATCACGTGTTGCACTTGTTGCATCGAATAATTGTTACCCAAAAATATTCAAAGCTCTCTCGATTTGCGAATGAATATTCCACCTTCTGATAGAGTGCATTCTATCTATATTTATTTTTAAAAGAAAACAAAAACAGGCTCTGGATCACACACACTTACACACAACACACACATCTGATCCTTGAAAGCTATAGAATCTCTATGTTATCTGTTAGTCTAGAATAAATATATAAAAAAAATCTACGTTCTTTGTGTGGCCAGAGCGAGAAGAGGAACGTTTGTTTCACGTCCGTGTTTGCACCTGTAGTAAATTCTCGTTAAATCTCGTAATATTGTGAAAATTAAATATAAATGCACCTGGGATAAGAGAAGATTTGGTGGAATATCGACCTCGAGTCTTACAACGAAGGATAATAATATATAATTTTGTTTAGCGAATTTATCTAATTAAATAAATATAGTTTAAAACATATATATATATACATAAAATCTATTAAAATTAAATAGTTCAATATATTTTTCAATACATTTGTTTCCCGTCTGCTTTACGTTATATGATAAAATCGTAAAGACGTTACGGCCTGACGTTAATTGTAGACAAATTACGTCGAGTCGGCGAATATCAACCTCTATCTGTTTATAAAATGGAAGAATGTTACAACTCAATATATATATATATGTATATATATATATATATATATATATATATAAATTTATATATATATGTAACTTTATATATATATATATATATATATATATATATATATAAATTTTATTTAATGCATTATATACATGCTTCCATTTAAAGCCTTATATGTCACTATAGTTACGCTTAATCTCATGTAAAGCTAATACCGAGTAAGAATGTAATTCTATTGTACACTACGGGCTGAGAATCTCCAAATCGCCGCGCTTATATGATATTATAAAGAAAAAATATTTAAAAAAAGCAGAGAGCACACAGACGATAATATTTCAATCGAATAGTGAATCGTGGGTTTGCTGTCGATGTTTTGACATTTCGAAGGATTTTGGCACAAGAAGATGAATGATTGATGATTTCGATAAAAAAAAGAAGGATGGATGATCCAACAAATCTATGTGCCACGAATAACAATTCTTTAAACGTCTCCTCCGGAATATATAATTAATAATTCGAAATTGTATTGACATAAAGACACGCTCGCATATCTTTCTACCTATTGTGCCAAAATCCTTTGATTGTATGCGGGCAAAGTATATCCTCCAATTATATAACATTGAGCCTTTGATAAGCAAAACTTCGCGATGGAAACCCATACAGCAAAATCACTATGTACTTCTAATTCCAGATTGATATTGAACATCATATAGTTATCTCGTCGATTAATACAAAACATTATGTAACATCGCCCTTGTTAATTTTTATACCATATATTGATTTTTATAGCAATTTTTATTCTCAAACCGCTAAATCCGACCAAGAGAAATCATAATTATATTCTGGGATAAATTTCTCCTTGATATATTGTTAAAAAATTATTATAAAATAATATTGGAGGGTTACTTGATTAAGTTACTTCTGCGGTATCATCCCAAAAAAGATACGTTGTAATATTGCGCCGAGTGCGCGTAAGAGAGGAACACACACTGTTTTATTGCAATATAAATGTGTATATAGGAAGTAACATGTTATAGAATATATCTCTACATGTATATATGTATACATATGCGTATACAAACGCGTACATATATATGTATATATACATGCGTACATACGTGAAAAATAAGATTACAATGAAAAAAAAAAAATATTGTCCTTACGAACGGTCGAAGACGCATTTCCGTCGAACTTTTATCGCGAAGTAAATAATCTATTTCTTCTCTTTAAAAATTTATATTTAATGTCTTCTACATATATTGAAAAATAGTATTAAAATGATTAAAATTGGTCAGAACTGGTGAATGTGTTCTCCCCGTGCACGGGGATGCGTATTCGCGTTCTGCGTATTCTTTTTAGTAAATATTGAACCTTTTATTTGTGTGACTCTAATACGCTTTCTCCTATGCATTTAGAATTACTTTGCAAAAGGAAAAAAATACTAATAATGATTACAATTATATTCGTACAAGATCTTGTCAAAATTGACTTTTTATATAAAAAAAAGTCGTATAGTTTTAATTTTTAATATGAAGAATATTATTTAAATTCATAATTACTTTTTAAAATCTCAGATTACAATATTACTGGTACATACAATTTTTCTGAAATTTTGCACATATTTACGAATTGGAAATTTAAGAAAAAGATTGAGAAGTTTAACAGAGTGTTATTTATTATTAAAATGATTTTGTTCGTATGAAAAATAAAATGTTATTGGCCATTAATAGATACAAAACGCATTAAAAAATGAATTTCTTATATTTTAATATAAAGTTTTTCATTCAAAATATTCAACGTCGTTGATGGTGTTGAAAATGTGAGATACATTTTATTTACATTTTAGTTTATTTTAATCATTTCATTATCTCTCGTACAAGATGGTAATAATGCAATTGAATGTTTCTTTACTATATTTATTTTTGCATGTGTGTTATCGCTAAAGCTTAAGCATGTATGTTGTGTAAACTTATATTTCTTTTTAATCCAAACTATTATTGAGATTTATGCTATTTTAATATTTTATAAATTTTATATTATACTTTATATATATTTTTATCTCTTTTATTTCTCTATTTATATTTTACAATATGATATTTCTCTTTCAAATTAAATATGATTATTTCTGTCCAATTTCGTTTTGTAATGTTCTGTCGATAAAATTTTAATGTTCGATTAAATCAAAAAGGTTGATAGTTTAATGTTCTATACTTTAATGATGTCCAATGTCTGTCCTACAATTACCTAATATTTAATTTTATTTTCTGACATCTTTTATTAAAAAAAATATATTATTATTTAAATTATTCTTTCTCATTATATCGTATATTCCAGAATTTATTATAATATGCATGTATTAAAACATTGTATACATATCTTCTGTAATATTTAATTGAAACATTTAAATTTTAATATATTTTGCTGAAGAGAGACAGAAAATCTATAGTTAGAAATTGAATTTTTTAAAGTTTTTCTAAACATTTGCTTTTTTCTATGCAAAATGATCGTTTTCCCGCGGCGTGCTTCCGTTTTGAATTCAAAGTGAGTGCACATCCAACATTTAATATCTGTCTATGTTGTAGGCGTCTCGTACCCAATATTCCTCCCCGAATTCCCGACAGACCATTCTCCGGCCGACTAAACTGAGCTAGTCCGACAGCAGCGGCGTACGAGACAATATCTCTTGTACCTGTGACAGTTCAAGACAACATCAACAGGAGAGATCTTGTTCGAATGACCGGTGACAGGCCACGATGAGAGCGGAAAATGACAGGAGAAGTCTCCATTTTTCGCGATAAGGACAAGAAGCTTTCTTAAAGTTAATGTTTCATCTTATGCAATCCTCTGATCTCAACGGCCTCTCGACATCAAGTTGTTGACGACAGAGAACAAGGACCAGGATCGAAGAGGAACCATTAAAAAAAGGCAGAGAGAAGCAGGAAGCAAGGCTGTGTTATATGAATACTAAAGAAGAAAGAGGGACCAAGAAACGAACCAGAGCCAGAAAAACAGCTCGTCTGTTCCTCGATGATGGTCAGGACAGCCAGAGGGATCCCACCAGTCACTTCTTCAATCGTTTTTCTCTCGTATATACTTTGTTTTTTACCTTTATTTATATACAATTAGATTCGCGATAGATTACGTTTAATTCTAACAATAAGTATTAACACCGCGTGCTCGATCTGCGCCAGGTGTCTTTTTTTTTAAGGAAATAACTTTGTTCGAAAGGACGGTAGAGATCTTACGACAAGAAGGACAAATTCAGATGCGTTCTTATTGATTTAAAAATTATGTAAAATTACGGTATCAGTATCATGATTATCAGTATTAAAAACGAGTTTATTAGCTATTATATTTGCTCATGATGAAAGTGTAATAATGAGAATCTTTAGTTTCTCGAGCAATATGGACACGTTGCAGTATTACTGTATAATTATTTAATTTCAATTAATAATCTGTAATGATGAAATTGCTAATGTATAATATAATCTTAGATTCTTATAGATATTTTTCCTTTTTTTCTATCTGTGATCTATTCAATATATATCCTTCTTCTCGTAAGTTTCCCAATGGAAATATTGTAAAAATATGATTTTTTCTCCTACAAGATATAGGCAACTCGATTACCTCGATTGTAAAAGAGCTAATTAGAATCGAAGAACTAAGTCATGTTTCGCAAAAA